GCAGTTCGAGCAAAACTCTCGCGATCGTTCGATGGCCTTAGTTCGGAGTCGCTTTCTTGGACCACCGCCATCGGCTCGGAGGCTTTCGTTCCCAGTCTGGGAGTCACTGTACACTGTGATCAGTGAACGAGCTCCAAACCCTGAGTTACATGGATACCTGCGGGATGTAGAATCCGCTGCGTGGTAGAGTGGCGGCATGGGTCCGAAGTGTTGTCGAGCAGGCCATTGACACTTAGATCGTACTGCGACAAATGGTATTGTAGTTCTTCAAAGGACTACCCATCGTCAAAAACCCTTCCCAAGTCGACGAATCCGCCTCCGAAGACTGTGGCGTGGCAGAGGCTGAGTCCCAATGTGAGCTATTTAACGTCAGTCAGGTATCCGGATAGGGGTCACTCGCACCAGCGTACATCGTTAAGCCTGCCAGTGTGGAAGAAACGTCACATCAGAAGTAATAGCAGCCAAACATCTGTGTGAGTGCGTCAAGACCGCTGGATGCTCCGGAGTCGTGTGATTGACCAATAGCATGAACGGAATCTAAGAGGTAGCATGGAGTGGAGAAGGCGGACACAGCCGCTTCGTCCAGAAGTGGAGTGTTGTTTCCCATCGTGACTCGTTCTGGAAACCGAAGAGGGGCTTAGCAGGTACATAGGAGGCCGGCTAGAGAGGGCGCCACTGGTATGTGCTCCTTTTGGTACACACTGCACGAGCTCAGACAATGGTCGGCGTTCTGGCCAGAAGTGATTATTGATTATGTACGCGAATCTGACAGTCACTATGGGCGCCTGTTCAATCAGTCCGGCTGGCTGCTCGAAGTCATGTTCCATGTCCCGACGCTTACGGCCCCTAATAGGGCTGTTATTGTCTTTTGATCAAGCAAATAATGGACCAAGCTGTGTCAGGAGTACTGTACAAACGAAAATAAGGAAGAAGAAACAGGGGACAAACCATAGTTCAGATCTAACGCAGAGACGGTCGTTCGAGTTCACTTCTTGCTTTTCAGGTACATCCTCGTTGGATGCAGGCTTCAAGCATGTCCGTAGCTACAGTACTAAAACCAGTCACTCCTGCTGGGTGTTTTCTTGCTCAGTGAACACAAACAGCAGTACGGTACATACTGTATGTACTAACGTTCCAATTGTCATAGAACGACATGCATGTTGTCGGGGTCGTTTCTGTCAGACTTACTATCGTCTACACTTCAGGGATGGAAGGTCCGACTGCGGAAAGCGCAAGTCGTCTGAGAGAGGTTGTTTGCGGTAACAAGAATATCCTGCCAGCAGACATTCCCAGCGGTCCTCCAACTATCGTCAGCAGTAAGACACTGGATGAAGCACTGGCCTCGTTGGGCATCTCGCTGGACCAGGTGCGTCTAGCGCGTCGGCTGCCAGAGCATGCGGACAGTAGTCTGGAGACTCTAGTCGGCTGTAACATCACTCAGAACATGAGAAAAGCTTCAGATTTGGGACTGACAGCAAGTTTGGAGGAAAAAAGCCGGACCGCCGCACCAGAACAATCTCACGATGAACGAGAAATCATCGCTATGATCACAGAAAGACCCGAACAGAACTTTCATCCCTTGAGAATGGGAAAAGTCGTTCCGCAAGGGGTAGAGGTCGTAGCAAGTCCTGCGACTGGGAATCCCTATGGGGTCGACATGGATAATTCGGTGGAAAGGATCGAGTCAGAGGCCGCGCTATTTGGGTTCGAAGAGACAGACACGCCACCACTAACTCCGAGCTGAATGAACCAGGCCGAACTGGGCAGTAGTAGATAGCTTAGGCATCAGGTAATTGATGACGGAACAGGTCGTACATTTCAGAATTCAATCGCATCTGCGTTCACTAAAATGACTAATTTTGATGCCAGCTCCGTGGTGACTGATGTTCCCCATGCTGCAGTTGAATTACAGTGTGTCCAATGGTCCATATCGGGTCGGGGGGGGCGTTGCCTCTTTACGTGATTGCCTTCTGTCTCATCCCTACCATATGATCCCGGAAGCCACCTCAAATCAGATCTGCGCAATGCCCTGGCGGAGTCCATGTTTGCGGAAGTCACGTCATTTCGAGAGCCGAATGAAGGGAGTGATAGAGCTCATCTTATTCTAAAAGACCACGTCACAAATATGGAACCTGGAATTGATCGTTGACGGGCGGGTTCACAACGCACAGGCACAGAGAGCGGCATGTATTGGCGTTCTGGCACCAGAGACTACCGTATCTAATCGTGGCGTTGTCACCATCGAAAGGCCTCCACGGTTGAATGAACGATCAGTCATCTGGTTGGAAGTCCAGCTCCCTCAGCCACACCTTCTTCCCCAAATACTCACGAATCGCTTCTTGCTGGCCGGAAGCTACGAAAGAGGGGTTGGGGGGATCGAACGGAAAGTCAGCTGCCAGGTCGTGTAACCGGTCTCTGACATCGGCGCCGGCGGAAACTGCGACGGAGATCAGGTTGGTATTTCTGTTGAAGCCATGGTACTCACCTAGCAATAGCATGTCGCCCCGTTCCGTGGATGCTTGGCCTCCCGAATGACTCAGCAGACGAGATGCTTCGTTCCACAAGCTCTCCGCGACGTCAGGAGTGCCTATAAAGAGACGTGCCCTATCGCCAAAGTTCTTCACCCTTGTGGGATGGTCTCCGGCTCGCCCGTCGGTGGGTGCATAGTACTTGGTCAAGAGCTTCGCGATCGTCGACGCGGTCACTGTGTACATTGGCGGCTTCTCCAATAGAGACTCGTCCCCAGCACAGATAGGAGCGACAGCACCCAGGTCCTCCACCGTCATGCCCTTCTTCTGCATGTCGTAGTAAATCGATATGTCTAGTATCTGTGGCATGTTTAGTCATGCGCCCAAACACGCCGAAGAAGCTCACCCTGAGTGTACATACATAACCCTGGTCCAAGGTGTCGTCGTCAAGTATCGGATTCAGGAACGATTGAGCCGCATGCACGATGCCTGGTCCAGTTAGTCTGCCGTCTCGGAGCGGGGCGTCGTCCTTACCCAGGCTGGAGACCTGCCATACGAGGTGGATCTGACGCGTGCGACCCTTGCAGTTGTTATAGCCATGGACCAATTTCCTGAGGTATGGCACTAGGGCGGCGATGCCATGGTCGGTCGCCATCATGAAAACGGCCTCATAATCCCACACCGGAACGCTGACGCCGTGTGGACCGCTGAAAAAGGCGAGATGAGGAATCGCTCTGTGGTCGGAATACCGCAGCAGCCGAGACGTGAAGCCTCTACGGGGTTTGATGAAGAGCTCAAGAGTGTTCTGAGCTGCCTCGTCCCACGAGGTCACGACGAAAGGATGTGACTCGAGAAGGCCAATGCGTGGGATCCACAAGGTGATGTATTGTCCGGCCTCAACGCTGATTGGCCTGGAAAGTTCGACCGAGACGAGGACTGTGCCGGTCGTATGGTTGACAATTGCCCTAGAGAAAGTTCTGCCCAGCATCTTGTTGCGATAAGCTGTGAGGCAGGTTTGGGCTAGCAGCAGAATGGCCGCAACTATCAAGTAAATGTACAGCCAGAGCCACGATCGGCTAGGGGTCATCATGGACAGATGCAAGCACACCCCTGCCGCTACAAGACACGCGAGTGCTTGGTGTATTCGTAGGCAGAGTTCATAAAGGTGATGACGGAGAAACGGTAAGAAACAGAAAGCGGCGGAGACAGCGGACAGTGATCCCTGAGGTTGTGTTAGTAGACAAAGTGTCACCGGCTCCTGGGTGCAATTACCACGAAGCCGAGAACGTCTTTTGTTTGATTGAGGCCGACGGGTCGCTGGTCAGCCATCGCGGTGAAAATGTGGACTACGAGCATGCCAGATGCGACTCGGCCCTGCCAGCGGTGCCAGAACATGAAGTGTGAGAGCGAAATGCCTAGGAGATCGGCAACAAACCCCAAAGAGGGTCCAAGAAACAGAGGTGCTAGGTTCAGGAGGGTCAACGTGCCAGAGCGTGAGAGTGTCGCTGATTGACGGAAGAGGAAACAGAAGACGTTGACACCCACGTATACCGTCGGGCCGAGCAAAGAAATGGCATTCCACGGGCCGAGAAAAGAGTGACGATGCACGAGAAAGCGGTAGCTCAACTGCCTCTCAACGTAGTGGGCCAGTCGTCGCCGTAGTCGGGTCGTCCGGGCAAGAGCATTGACGAAAGCGATCCCAACCAGTAAGCCAGCGATGCAAATAGCGTAGGCAGCTGTCACGGGCTCCTTCAACGACATGACGGCGGTCATGTCAATACGAGGCTGCCGGAATGGTGAAAATAAGAGACGAGGAATAGGATCACGGCGTGGAATTCACGCGATCCATACTACGCCCAGCAAAGAGTGCTCGAGCGGATGAACTATGTAGCTAGGCTATTGGCATAGTAGCTTTATTTGACTGCGGTGGAGGATGCCTCTCTTCGACCGTGAAATCGCCGTTTGCTGCTCTCCTGTGTACCCGCTTGATGTGGCCTAGTCACAGGCATCGCTAAGGCTGATGTGTTGACAAATCCAGCTTCAGGATCCTTGAGCTAGTACCGCAAGCCAAACCCTGATATGGCAGCCTGTCGGGCATTTAGACTCGATGCGAGCGTTACCTTCCATGGTGGCGCTGTATTTGAAAAGGGCACTTGAATGCAGGAGTAGGATTCATAGCAGTCAGCTCCGGCAGGAGCGACCAACAAAGGTTCATCAAGGCGCAGGCGAGAACAGTCAACTTTCGTCTTGACCAATTCATGGCCAGCCGCGCATGACCTACTTGCCCAATCAATAGCTGAAGAATCCAGACCCTAATAAGCAACCGTTAAGATTGATGAACAGAAGAGGCCACGATTCTAAGCAAGCCGGCGCTGAAGTGTTGCATGTACTCTACAGCGATACATAGCACGATGACTGAACTTTCGGCTCAACGAGGGATGCAAGTGTCAGAGTTCTGGTGTAGGTGAAGTCATCAAGTGGTTTTAGATCGATGCACAACTCCGCCCATTCATTCTTCGGATAGAGAAATAATCAAGGCACACTCAGCTACTGTGCCATCTATCAACGTCGCAGCGATCTTGCGCATAGCGTGATCTCCCAATATCAAGCGGCGGAAGCACCGACGTTCAGTTTCTAGCCGGCGCTCGGACGGCTAGACCTAACTAAGATCCCCAAACTTCCTCTTCTTCGTCGCTTTGGGGATGACGATGTGTTTGCCGCGAGAATTTTCGATTTGCGCTTGCAGCCTCCCAAGGCTATACGAGTATTGTGCCTCCCGCTGTGCGCAGATCAGATAGTCTTTGTGGTGGTCCAATGCCATCTCGGCCATCTCCCGACATAACATCTGCTCGTCCAGCATCTCCTCCTTGTGGTATAATTGCTCTTTTACTTGTTCTAGTTCTTTCCGAGATTGGGACAGCTCCTTCTCGAGCTGCGAACAATAGCTTACGAGTATCTGACTCTCCAGGGCTGACATATTGCACAAGCGTGAACAGGTGACCGGGCGATTCTGGCAGAGATCTCTTGGTCTCAAGGCACGCCGCTTTGCAGGTGGTGGTTGCTGTAATGTAGTATGTACGTGGTTTCTGCTCTGCTCCCCAATTCTTATTGTTGAAAGATGGAGCCAAAAACAGAGTCATTTCTCTGGTGACGATCCCCGAAGTCGTGAGAGCTGGTCACGGCTTGGGTCCGAAATTGACTCCGGTGATCCAGCGCCTCCTCGATGCTCGAAGATACCAAAACGGCCTCTGAAACTTCCTTTCGACGCTTCGATGCATTGTATCGTACAGTACAGTACAGCAATTTTGTCCTCTCGTTCTTCTATTTAATATCAGACGGCAAATCTCCGCCACGATCTGCATCCTTCCATACTACACTTGACTCAAGCACAATGACAATCTCGACTACGGCCGGCACCAAGAATGATCGGGACAAGGTCAAAGACCTAATCTTCAAAGACAGCGACTTCATCGACAAGATCTCAGCCGACGGCCTGGTTCTGCTCGTGATCGGCATCGACCTTCACTATGTCGATGAGATTTTAGCTGAGAAGAGTGACGAAGGAATCCAGCTTGTCCTTGCTCTCGGCCATAAGGACAAGAAGATATCAGAGGTTTTCCCAGCTGGAGCTTTACTCGGAGCTGAATCGAAAAGCCTACTTCTTCGCTCTCTACGAGACGGGTATGCTTTAGATGAAAAGCAGTCCCTCATCACTATCTCTACCCCGGAGACGACCATTCGCCTGCATGCGGACAGCCTTTTGAAGCCTACGGCGTTGAATGGAAAAGTCAGCAGTTCTCCGGAAACTTTCGTGGAAATGAAAGAAGGGGTTCCATTTTCAACTTTCTGGTCTACTTCTAAGGATGACGAGCCCATCCGGGATATGGATTTCTCTTGGTCTCCGGCGGGATGTGGCGAGAATGGGCAGGAGGGGGGCAAGCTACTCATTATCGAGCTTCCCGATGGTATCTGCGCTGATAGGCAGTGGGCCTGGATGTTTATGACCCAGGACGAAAATGTACAGTAGTTTAGGCCAAGGACGATTAGAAAGTAGCCGCTAGCAGATTCTTACTACTAGGCTTCTGAATGAGCGCATTCCTCTCTTCGCCTTTGATCAGTCAAGCTAGTTCTGGTGTTTCTACGCGGCAAGTGTCACCCTTAGAGACGAGGGATGAAGCAAGATGGGATGATTTCAAAGAATGAAATCAGAAGCCCGTTCTCATGTTTCCCTTGATTTTTATCTCAAGCTTCGAGTTCGGGCACGATATCACCAGCAGAGTTCTCGCGAGACCTGCCCGGGCTTATTCACGCTCAGGGTCCTTGAGATACTGAAGGGCCGTCCCATCGCAGTGTCTCGAAGGAGATTGAAAGTCGGCGGCTAATCGCAGTGGCTCAAAGGATGGTAGCAAGGCCCAACGGGTCCACAGTGTCACACTCCACAATGTGCCGCGATCTGTTTGAACACGGACGGAAAGCATGGTCAGGAGGGGAAAGTGTCCCTTGTAAGCATCTGACGAAGGATTTCTTACTGCCGCCCAAACAAGTCCGGCCAGCCGGAATAGATACAAAAGCATCAATTTTCAGATCAAGAACAATTCCTCAGTTCAGACGCCCGTCAAAGAGGAACGCAAACTCCACATGCAAGCTAACTTCCGTAGTCTTCACAGTTCCTCCTCGTCATCCATTGCGGCATCCAGGCTAGGGCCGGCGTCTGGGGTGGGACTCCGGGCCACCGCTGGCCGCTTCCCATCTTCCCACTCTTGGTGCCGTTCCCACGAGCGAATGGCTCCTGCGTAGATCCACATATCGGCTTGCTTCATGACAGTCCCTTTCTCAATCAGGACTCGATCCCCAAGCTTGAAGTCTTGGGGAGCGGCGACAGGCCTTTGGCCGATCAAAGATCGAAGTGTGCTTCTGGTCTCGAATGTTTTTTCCTTCAAGAACCGCACTCTCCCCATTGCATTTCCTTTACCTACGGCTCCAGCATCGTCATCGATGATCTGCCATTTGATCTTGAGAGTCGTGTACGGAGCCTTGCTCACTTGCCACTTGTTTGTGGCGCCGGGCTTGTTCCTTTCGTCTTCGCCCTTTCCTTCTCCACTGTTCCCCTTCTCTTTCTTCGTTGCCCAGTTTCGAGGGTCCATCAGCAATATGGGGTCATCGTGCCCGATCGGTATATCCCAAGCGACGCCCTGCAATATAGGTCTGATGTTCACTCGCTTCCCGTTCTCATCTATGGCCTGGCGCTTCACGTTGTGTCTTGTTTCGTTGAGACATATTCCGGTCTTTGCGCTGGGAACGAGCTGCAGTTTCTCTGCATTCAGCGGCCCCACTCCGATGACCTCGGAAAACCGGTTGTGCCCTCTGCTTAGATAGCCGTATGAAGTATGACTTCCCTGCACAGCGCCTTTACTTCGAATTGTCGTGAACTCGTTCCAAGACATCAGGTCACCGGGATCGTCTGTATCTTTCTCATTGACAACAACGACAGAACTCCCTAGCGTCTGGCTTACGAAGAGGCCGACGTCCTTCGGCTCCTCCTCGACTTTAATATGCGCAACAAACTCCTCTGCATGCTGGACAGCGTCCTTGGGCGGGAGGCTGCTGTCGACATCCATCTGGTCTACTGGCTTCAAGTTTTCATTTGCATTCGCTGAAGTTAGTTCTGCATTTTCGTCGAGTAGCTGTTTGATTGCCTGCTGCAGTTCCGGTGGGCTATTCTCAAGCTGCTCGTTCAGACTCATTTTCTTGGCAACAGCGGACGCCTTCGCCGCATAGGCCTGGACAGCATTCTTATTCACGCCAGTGGCGGCGTTGCTAGTCTTGCCTGCTCGGGCTTTCGAACGCGTTTCTGCTACCATGTTGGTTAGAAGACGACGTGAGTTGCGGACTCTAGTTGCCTGTGGGAGGACCCAGTCGAGCTTATATAGCACGTCAAACGCTTCTTGGTACGTCGTCTGGGTGGCATACACGCTGGGTGAGATCCATATTGGGCTGTATGTGGTTGATGAGGGTTACGCGGGTAAATCTAGCTGCAAGCCACTTTCGTCTGCTGATCAGTAAGGAGTCGAAGGCCAGTCTCGGCCGCAATCCTTTCGAAAATAGCCGCAAGATCTGCTAATACTGTATGTAGTAGTTTCTGCAGCGGTGCATGTATCAGCTTTTACAATCGTGACGGAACGGCAGTGCGTGTGTTTACAACCGTTGAGCCGACGGGCCAAAACGCACAATGCTCAGTCGAAAGACCGAACCCCAAGCTCCTACATGGGCGACCCGTGACAACATGTTTGTAATGAATTTCTTGTGTTACCGTATGTACTGCATAGTGCATATGTATTCTACGTTGTGTTGATTGTATCTCAACGGTGCGTATGTATCATGATATCACTGGCATCACGTAAAACCACTTGCACGAGGACTCCCGCATCTGGTGCACATGAAGCGAACTGAGGCCTGAACTGAAAACAAGCTCTTGACGGCCCTGACGACTCTAAGACAAAATTGGCTCCTCATTCGACACCGGCGGCCATATTCGGTGACAAGAACGTCTGACCCGCGACAGATGCGACTCAGTGTATTCCCGGTGTTTCCCTGGGTGGTACTGTAGTGCCTCGCATAGGCATTTCAATGACCCGCTGATTGTTGTACGGAAATAAGTCGCGTTGCTGTACAGTATGTATCTGAAGCTCAAACAATCCAAGTGTCTGGCAGCGTTCTGAAACGGGTGTAAGCGGCAACCTCCCGGTTCTGGCAATTTGGCATTAGACGTGGGCAAGCAATAAGTGTCACGACACAGGAATGAGCATCGGCACTCGGCGAGGTGATTGACACGTGAATCTCACAAACAACTCCTACATAGACCTTTTTCTTTTGTTCATTTCCACTTAGATCAGTACAAGCCACATACACCCGGTTTATGTGCCCATTGATGCCTGCCATAAGCGGTGACAATAAGTTCCAGTTGAAGAATCCAGACAACCGCGAACGCAGGCTAGCTCAGATGTGGAAACCTGTTCTCATGGTGGCCTTGGCATTCTGTTATTAAGCATTGTGAAATCACCCAACTCAATTGAAAACGTGTCCAATGCGAGTGTTCAGAGCATCAGCTCATGGAGGTTTAACGCAGATCTTTGGTCGCCAAAACAATTGGCCCATGCGAAGGGAGTGGTCAGAGTGTTTCAACGATTCTATAATCCATGGTCCTCTTCGCTTAGCCTCATCACTACATCAGTCCCGAACATGCGAACGTTCTCATGGAGGACTCGAAACATTTTCTTAGCAATTCCGATCAACCATGCGGTCAGGAAATGCATGACTCAGCGTCAAAGTGGTAATTCTCCAATTCTTCCAAAGGGCTATCAAGCAATGCGGCATCTGGATACTAACGGCGAGCTTTGCTATCTACAGAGCGGGCCTATCGTTTGCCCTGAGTTCGACTTCACTGCCCCGCAGCGTGACCCCGGTGCCGCCCATCCTAACGTTGACAAAATCTTTGATCTTCAAGATTGGTGTAAGACGCTGCTACACCACATGTCTGTAGCGACCTGGCAGGACGGTGTGGAGGTGCAATGAGGCTGACTTGGCTCAGAAGCTGTGGTCGGCGGAGAATGGTTCACTTCAGTAATAGACCACGAATACCGGCCACACCCGATATCCCAAGTCCCGTTCTTGGCCATCGAGTTGCCCTCACCCCCCGTATGGCCGCCTGTTGACAAAGAGTAAGCGTGAACGGTGTAGACACGATGGGGTTCTGCGTGCTTACAGTAGCTCTGCGCTGTGTCTTGGTACGTCTTGGCGCAGCTTCTGGAACAGGAGCCAGTGACAAAGGATGCTTGCGGCGTCCAACTGAGCTGCACTCCGTATTCTTTGTAGGTGCTGGGAGTAACTGGTGGGCTGCGATCTTGAAGTGGTGATAGTTCGTTGCCATTGATATCCACCTTCCAACTCAGAGAGTTCGCTTCGTCCTGCGACTGTTGTTTGCAGAACTGGGATACGAGATTGTATCTCGGACCATAAAATACGTCCCATTGAAGGCCACTTGGGTCTTCTATAGCGCATTCCAGTTGACCATATACACCAGGAACTGTCAAGAGAGTACCCAGTAGCCACAAAGTCGTGAACAGATCCTTAGAGGCTGTCATGATTGCCGAGGGGGCCATTCTTTCAGGCGAGAGTCACGATGTAAATGGACGGGGTGGCACTGCGCTTCGGAGCTGATATAGGGATGACCATCCGAAATTGGCTTTGACCAACCCTTGATTGACATCCGGGTTTGAAATTGCCCTATCGAAAGCGTCAGTGGATTTCCAGATGTGCTTCTCCGTGAGCTTGGATGCCTGGGAGCCATTTCCGCCGCGCCTCCCCCCCCCCCCCCCAAAAGGGTCTGAGACGATATCGTTGGTCGAGTCTCGAGAATATCACATGTATAGACTCATCTCCATACATACCGATGCGAACGCATTCGGTTCTTGCTGACGACGTATGCTGCAGAGTATGCGAGAATGCTGGCGCCTTTCTTTCTGGCTAGCAGCGCAATGGTTCTGTACGCTGACTCTACGAAGCTGGAGAACTGAAGACACAGCTGAAGCCTCAACTCGGCTTTACCATCAATTGGGCTCCCGCACGGCATAAAAGTGGTCGATGAGTGACTGAGCAGGCACCAACGCGTTGAGAGGCTTGTAGCATGGTCCTGCTTTGACGTCGTGATGATATAAGTGATACTTTTTACTACAGTACACTCGCTAGCACTATAAAACATAGACTAGAGGGTAATCAGGAAACCGACGATTTACGTCTTTCAACTGATCTGACCACCTGGCCCTTGCGCATTGGCAATCCTACACTCGCCGGCAACGCAGCGAAGCCGAAAGGTACCCCGTCGGCTTCAGAGTTTCCAGGAACTTCGTCTGGTTGCCTGAGCAGTGTCCCCACCACCAATGTCTACGGCAACGTTCATTGTACTCCGCTGTCTGAGGTGCGCGAGGTCGGCGGAGGCCACGTCGACGGACGATACGACAACTTTGGGCATGGTGCGGATAGGTCATAACTTGAACTATTGTTCTAATTGCGCTGAGGCGACGGGGTATATCACTGAAGTAGCAAAGCAGAGTGATCCTACCGCTTCTGCCGCTTGCATCGTGCGTCCACGTCTTCTCCATCCCCTCTTCTTCTCTTACGGTGGTCCGCCGTGCCAAAGGGCGCATCAAGCCTTTGCTCACGAACCAGCCGCCGCAAATTGAAAGGCGAGCCGCTGATGTTGCAACCTTCGGCAGGCCTCTCCCAAAGAGTAATAGGAATGGGCTCGTCCCGACTAGCCACTCGAAACCTGACCTCCTTGCAGAAGTTGCCGCCGGCATCTAGCAACGACTGGTCCTGGAAGCAACCAGCTAGTGTGCGGTCGCCAACACGGAAGAAAGCAAGAGCCGCATCGAGCTGCGTCATGAATGCGACGAACTCATCGGAATCCGCTCCCAGCCGGCACCGTATGTGCCCGAGACACTCAAACTCACCGTTGACGAAACGGATTGGCTGCACCGGATTCAACTCGAACACGAACAGCTCCGCTCTTAGGCAGATGGCCAAGCGCTCCAACTCGGGCAAGCCCTCGAAAACGTCGTCTGCATCAGAGAAATCGGACAAATCGTCCAGTGGCGGCTCCGCGCCCTCGAACTCGACGTCGAAACGGAAGAACTCACCCGTGTGGCCTACCTGCTTATTCGTGATTACCTGCTGCCAGGTTCGTTTCGTACTCCCGAGGTTCCACAAGGCCCGGACAAGCCGTAACGGGAAGCAGTCTCTCCACGGCCCACCAGACTCCGACGAGGGCGGCTCATCGGCCTGACTGGACCCCGTCCCCACGGAGACGAAGATGCTTGGGTCTGGGGTAACGGGGTACAGGGAGGCAGTTTCCTGCAGGGCAATATAGGATGGGTTATTGGCAACTAAGCCACCGTCTTGGAACGCCCCGAGTCCGTCGATGCGCCATGGTGTAAAATAACTAGGCAGCAATTCAGTAGCTGATCACCCACTGCTTCCTTGACTTATGAGTGCCAGATGCTTACTATGGAGCTGCCGTCGCGCTGCGGACACTGAGAGGATTCAATATACCACGAAAAAGCGGAAGGTAAGATCACTCACATTTCCCATAGCGGTATCTTTCTCAAACCCCTCTCCGGTGCAAGAACGTGATAATCTGGAAGGGCTCATTAGAGTACTACACATACTGCTGGAAGGAAGTCGATCGGAACCTCGGTCTTCGCCACGCTCTCCCCCTCCATTATAGCTAGTGAAGACGCAGGCACTCGCGTCTTGAACGGTCGCAACCGTCATACCGACATGCGTGCCCATAGCGGTGGCAGGAGAATAGTCTACGATGTTCTTCTCTGGCCCGAAGACCCGGCGTAAAGCCTCCTCGATCGGCCGCGACGGGTATCGGCTATCGAAGACGAGCAGAGCAATGAGGCGGACGAGAGCGGGCGCGAGAGGCAAATGCATCAGCATCTGAAGCAGCGGACGGACAAATGGAATGGCGGGTATGCGACGGGGCGTGAAGGCATGGCGTGCCAAAGACTCGAAGCAGGCGATGCACTCTTCGACGGTCCAGCCGTTGAGACATAGCGCACCCGCACTGATCGCACCTGTTGAGTTGCCTCTGGCATGAGCCAACCCCGCGCCGCTCGAGATGTTGACGACCTACCAGAACTCGTGCCGTACACGACATCGAAGTGCTGCTGCACGGGATGGCTGGGCAGGTCGATGCTGTCCTGCAGCTGTTTCAATAGCATCAACGGATATCTCCCCCTTGTGCCGCCGCCGTCGAAGCACAAGACCCTAGCCGTGGCCGTGTCCGGCTTCACCCTGACGACCATCTCCAGCTCTCGTCGGCACAGGAGGCATCTGTCGATTCGCACAAGCCACGGGTCGTCTGGGCTGCGAACGCCGAACACGGCCACGCAGTTCATGCACCAGCCGTGGCCGCAGACGGAGAAGAACCGCGGCCGGCGTCGTAAGCAATGATAACATGTGTGTTCTGACTGGAACTCGGCCCAATCGTCCTGGAATCGGCTGAGGAGCTGGCGGTGGAGCGACGCCGCCGACTCGCCGGACGTCAGCTGTCCAAACCTGCGCACCATGTCCGTCTCAATCATGTTGGCGAACTGCGAAGGCAAGAGAAGCTCGGTCGAGCCCTGGTGTGCTAGAACGGCACGGCCGCACACGTTGTGGCAGGCATCTCTGTAGAATTGGCGGAACACAGCACGGGGGTCGAAGACTGCAACACGTCAGAACAAGCAAGTCCCCGCCAGCTTCTCGAGGCTGGCAGTTGTTGTCCCATTCGATACTACGATGACTTACAGTGCATCCCTGGCGGGTACTGGTCAAGAAGAAAACTCGAGGCGATCACAGGAATCGCAAATTCCCTCAGACGCTCCAGGGAGTGAAAGCTTTTGAGGAAGTCTGCCAGATGCGCTTCCAGATCCGGCGCTACCGGGTTATCGGTACGCGAGACGGCCAGGAAGCTCAGGGGCCACGCCGTCCCGTCTGTCTGCTTGTCGGCTGCATGACGCAGAAAGGCGGCAAGATGAGTGGCCGACCATAGGCTGCTCGCCAGCCGGCGCTCGATCCGCTTGGTCTCGGCCATGTACGAAAGTTCATTGCACAGTATATCCCACCGCACTGGCGGAAGGCTTCGCCGCATCGTCTTCGGCGACATTTGGTTCAGACTGACGATACGGACGCCTTGGAAGACCTCCGAGATGCCGATGCTCGTCTTCTCACGGAGCATGTCCGTGAATGCTTGCCGGACGACGGTCTCCTCGCCATCGTCGACCACGATCACGAGCCACGGACATACGGTCACATTCGACGATCTGCCCAGATCCAGCCACGCCGTCACGCGGCGGGCGACGCTGTGTAGACCTCCCAAGTCATTGGCAAAAACACATACGACGTCGGCAAATGGGACAAGCAGGCGGCTGTAGATACGGTCGGCCGCGTGCTCCACCTTGGACGCCGCGGCGTCGTCCGAAGGTTGGGGAATCGGTCGCGCCGTGATTTCATGGCAGAGTGGGGACTTTCTAGGCCGGCCCAGCCGGTTGTGTGGCGGAACATCGCTGTCGGCGATCAGGAGGGGCCTCTCGCCCGTCTGTGTAGCCGGGGAAATGGAAAGGTGCACCTCGCCATGGCCTCTGATGGTGTTGGGCCGGGTGATTTCCACGCCCAAGTGTTGCATAGCGAGACGTTTGGTCCCGTTACCAATCAGGATGATCATGCTTGGAAACTGTCTCTCAGGACTCGGTAGGCTGTCCAGCAGCCTCTGGGCGCGATCTGAGACTTCGAGCACATGTCCCCGCTTTTTGGTCGACAGACGCAGCCACCCAGTGTGTTTACAGAGGTCCATCCTGTTGATGTTCCGTACACGTATCGCGACTTCCGCGCCTAGCAAAATAGTCCTTTTATAGTCTCTGTGTGATTCGCAGCCATTACAGTACCATCTTCTCTTTGGCGTCCTTGGGCTCCGACGGTGACCCAATCCAGAACATTGCTGACACGGCACTGCACTACTGTACCATAGCGGACGAGCTGTCGACTTCAGAAGAGCAGTTTGCCACTCGCCGTGCAAGAAGCTGTTTGCTGCTTCTGCGACACGTACTTCCATCAAACTATGGACATTTGAACACAGACAAGAGGGTGGGTACTGTACAGTACATTACGACGACACCTCATGTCTGGACAAGTTCTCTGCGCGAAATTTGTCAAGATTGATTGGGCGCGCGGCTGCTACGCCGTACAGTGTGTAGGGGTTCCGAACGCTGCTCGTCACTGCTTGTGGGGCCGTGACGTTGAAAGCATGAACGGGCTTCTGGGTCCACAACGGGGCTTGCGGGTCGACGAGAAGCACCGGGTGCCGGTTTCGTCTGGCGCCTCCCCGAGGAGTCAGAACAGGATCTGTGTGAGTGAGTGTGCAATACAGGCTGTTTGTTTGTTTGCCGACCAAAGACAGCGTTCTAAAATGGGGCAAACCTGCAAGGACCCTGGACACAAGTCGGAGTGGGTCAGTCGGCTTTCACAGCCAGTTATAGCCCTTCCCTGAGCAAGAGCACAGACAGTGAGAAAACTATAAGACAAGGAGGTAGCGCCGCGCTGGAAGTCCGACATTTTTTCCTGGCTCGGGGGCCTCTTGCCCTCCGCCGCTGAGACGTGGTTTCTCCTGCCAGCGATGATCTCAGGCTATTATGCCTACACTGAGGCTATCATGCCCATCTCAGGCTTCATGCCATATTCAGGCTTCATGCCATATGCAGGCCATCGTGCCATGTTTAGGCTATCATGCCATATTCAGGCCATCGTGCCATGTTTAGGCTATCATGCCATACTCAGGCTTCTATGCCCATACCCAGGCTATCATGCCATACTCAGGCTAAATGCCATACTCAGGCTACATGCCCATATTCAGGCTATCATGCCATACTCAGGCTACATGCCCATATTCAGGCTATCATGCTACATCTAGGCCATCATGCCATACTCAGGCTATCATGCCAACTTCTATCTCGCTAGGACGTGGTTTCCCCTGCCAGCGATGACTGTTTTTCTCCCGCTGCGACGACGTTCATTCCGCCCGCGAAGGGGCGGCGAAATCCGGACTCTGCAACCTCCACGTGGTGCCGCCTGGGAACCTACCTTTTCTGCCAAAGCAGACTTGGTAGAGCCAGTGCAGAGACGTAACTGTGCCAAGCGCCAGCGCTTGTGCGATTTGCTTGTCAAATTTTCATTGAAGATGATGTGCATACTTAGGCTATCGGTGGGGAGCAAACGCTTTGCACGCTTCGATAGTAAGCAGATCATCGCTGATGTGGGCCAAGAGTGAATGCTGTGTTCCGAAAACGAAGTGCGAAGGACAGCCGGGATAATTGGGGACGTACTAAGCCTCGAGGCCTGCTTCAGGTGCAAACACTAGCTGGCGCTTTCGGGGGTGGGACTGTAACAGGCTGCTCGTGTGGATGGCAGCCGCTGGCTATGCCCGATGGCTTTCGAAAGTCTAGTGTCGTGGGGCGGTCTTCGTATCTGGCGGACCTCGTAAAGGGACGTGAAACTGCGAACTTTGGAAAAACATAGTAATATACTGTAACAATTTTGCGTCCACTTCCACTGTGCTTGAGCTCTTCACTCGACCGCGACACCCACGAAGGCTGGAGGAGCGATGTTCGTGTCGGCCAGGCACCGGGTCGCACCAAGCGCCAACACAGCAGTTCCCTCCACGCAAGGCTTCGAGGCCGTCTTCAGATTCTTCGTGAGTTCCCCTCCAGCCTATCGAGCAGCCGTCTTATCATTACGAGTTTGCAGCTGCTGCCAAGGTGTTCCGTTCTGGGACCGAAAGCGCCATATCTGACCCGCGCCAGTTGAAAGCGCGGTACACGGGAGATGGTTCGTGCACGCAAGTTCTCGGGTGTACACTGTTCACACCAGCATTTCCTCACTAATGATGTTGCGCTTTCTGTTATTTGATTACTAGGGAGGGTCGATTTTGATTTATTTCTTCTGTTCTCTTCTACAAGTATTCCGTTCAATTGTGTTGGTGGTATGCGCCCAATCGTGCTGACGGCAAGGCAATGATGACCCCCACCCTTCAGGTATTGTCAGTCTGCACCTGTTTGACAGCGGAACCGCAGGGCTAGAGCCTGAAAGAAGCGAACCTGTTGCTCCACCGAGGCGCCACACCCGGATTCGCCTCTCCTCGGTGACTGTGCTGTTCGACGGGGCGTCAATGATGTGCCGCCCTGCGTTTTGGCTGCGGGATGAGATCTTTGCTCGTAACCATCCTCAAGGTTGTTTCCGGACCGCCCATGCACACCATAACCGTTATACGAACCGCCTGCTACCGCGACCTCGGTAGCCGCGCGATTCTGCCTCGCGCGCCACATTTCTTTCGACACGCGTTCGAACAACCGGCGTCGTTGGTCTATTCTTTTTGTTTGCATGCTTGCGATCCTTGGGTCTTCCGCAGCTTTTGCCAGCTCGCCGTTGAGGGCATCCTCAGCGCCCACGACCAGCCAATCAGACGGTGCCTGCTCGTTCTCCGTCATGCCAGGCAACTCTAGCTCGGACCAGTCAATGTCGCCATCCATGCTTGTTTGACAGCCGATCTCCACGTCGCTCGTCCCTGGCTCAATGAGACCGTCCGTGGCCGAAAGTCCCTGAACTGCCCCACAGTCTGCCCATGCTTCCTCTCCTTCCCTTCCTAACGCCTGGAGGGGCATGGCAACAGCTTCCGGGGAGCCGTCAGCGTCGGCGTCGGCGTCGTCTTCCACTTCCACGCAGTCTGCCACGCTCTGAATGGTTTGTCCCGCGCTTTCTGGCACATCTCCTGCAGCTGTTTCTGCCTTCCCTTCAAGTTGGTGCGATTCGTGTTGGTCTCCTGTCGGGTCTGGTTGTGGATCCGCGTTGGCGTCTTCCCTTGGGGCACCTTCTTTCCCCGCATCAGTCGGCAGCTCCTGGCTCTCGCTGTCGCTCATCTCGACGGTAATTTCATCCAGCACCGGCGTGCTCTCCCGCCGCAGGTGGCGGGCGGTGGACCGGGTAAGACGGCTGCGACGTCGGCGGTCGATATGTTGTCGGCCGTGGTACAAATCCAGTAGCTGATCTGCGTCTTAGCCTCGATGGCACCTAGTGCAAAACAGTCTTTCATTTCAACACAGCTGGCTTACAAATTGGTTGATGTCCGGGATGCTCTGGCCTTCGGGGACGTGGACAGCCCCGTCCAGCTGTCCATAGGTCGGATTAAAATGGATGGTCGCGGTGAACACCCTCGCCTCTTGTCCGAGTTTGAGTGTCTTGCGCATCGCGCTGCCGCCACATTTCCGGACCTTCTCCTTGGCCCTCTTGTCGTGCTCGTACACGATACTACGCGGAGGGTCCACAGCCATGGTCTCTACTTCGACAAAGCACAGCAGAAAAAAGACCTTCAGCACCGAACAGCAGAGTATCGATCATTGAATGGTTTACAGCGTTCCGAGCCATGCTCACATCCGCCGGCTTGCGGTGTCAGTTATCTCTATACTGCTTCAAAGCCGTTTCCGACTCTGCGCGCTCTTCCATGGAAGTCCACAATGGCTCTCCTCTTGATGCCTGCCAAATTTGCAGCCAGGCGTGTTGACAGCCAAAACTGGAGCTCTGCGGTGGCTGGGCCTTCGCAGGCCGTGCGTTTGTAGAAGACCCCTACAGTAGATATCGAAATCGGTTTCCTTGTCCATGAAGAAAAACTCTTCTGCGCACATATGTCTGTGGATCCGTTTGCTGACAGGGTACATGACAACGCTCCGACGGTACCTTCTTGATGACCCCCATAGCCGAAGTCAGAAATTGCTTTTACACTGTGTTCGTGGATTACACCCATGTTGCATTATCCAACATCCACAAATGGTGACAGTAAGTGCAGTCTCGACAGTATGCAACATTGGGCTAAAATTAGAATACAGTAAAAAAGCGATTCTGGCGTTACTGTGGAGGTCATCGATGAAGGTACTTGTTGGGTCTCGGTGTATATCCCGTCAGCAAGGAGATCCACATATGTCTATGCACGGAATAATTCCTATCTACAAAGACGGAAACCAAATTCGAATTCTCCTGTATGTACATATGTCCATCAGGAATTCGTCAAAGATCGGTCGCACTCAGAGAGCGCCTGGCCCGTTCTAGATCCTCCCGCGGTCACAAGTAATCATCCTGGCACAATCAACACGTGAGTGAAAAGCGATGCGGCCCCCGGCTGGACCGACTCCGTTGGCTGAGTGTTAACCTCGACGTCTCTCTAAAAGAAGCAATTTCGGACCGTAAGGATAACCCCGACCGGATATATTTTCCGATAGTGGTAACGGTTGCTGGTTGATTCAGGATCAGGGACCAAAACTGGCTGCATTCTTCATTCTCGGCACGGGACCATGGACCGGACCGGTGAGTATACGACCACCCACGTCCATTGAAAATCGTAGGACAGTATTTTCATCATACCCATTCAGCCTCGTTCTCGGCCTGGGTAGCCTGCCGCCTCGTGCTTTCGACTTGACCCGGTGCTTCTCGGCCATCCAGACTGCAATCAGTCATGAGCCTGATGCGAATTTCCAATTTTTCGAGGTACACATACGGCGGTACAGCCATAGGAAAAATCGGATAGGCATATTTAGACGAATGGCAGTCAGACCTGGATGATGTGGTTGTATTTCTAATCTTGACAAACAAACTCGGCTTCGAGCTTATTGTAAAAAAAAGCTGGCTTCCTTCCAATTTCTCCAAGCTAAACGATGTTACGACATCGTGGTCATGGAGACAACCATGCCCAAATTGGTTACCACGAGTGTGGTCATTCGGACAACACAGACCATAGCAGGTCCTCCCCCTTTGATATGACAGCTGTTAATACAAAGTTACGTTCGAGACTTGGATACAGAATGATACAGCATTGTGCAAGCGTATTTGCCAGGGGATCGCGTGCCAGGATGGTGTCAAGGGTATCGCGAGTCATGGCGAAGCCATGCCACCTTTCCTTGCAGCGATACGCCGCTCGCAAGATCTAGGTCTGTAGCATTCCTACGCACCTATTTGCCAGTCGCTAAGTCCTTTGTCCAGGCGGTATGCTGATCAGCACCTTGCCAACGAAAGTAGAAACGCCCGGCTGCCTGTGTTTCGAGAGTCCATTCTCCTCGGTCAGTCTTGATCTCTTTGTTCTGCGACTGGAAGCAAATGCGCCCGTCATTCCAGTATTGTCCACCTACGATTGCTTGACGAGATCCGCAGGGGATAGATTCGCAACCATTAGGTCACGTCTTCGTCTGGCAGTCCCAGGTGGGTGTCGACTCTTGGATGGATGACTTTGGGAGATGGATTTTGGAGCAGGGCTTGGCAACTGCCTCGGCCGTTTTATGTCCTTGGCACTGATGATTGATGCGACGTCTGACGCTGGATCGCTTGCCGCGTCGACGAGGCGAGGCAGCGCAGATGGCTGGCTACAATTGTTCTTGTCTGAAACCATAGTAGATGAATCGCTATGACCTTGCAACGAAGGGGAGTTGGCGCAATCCACAAAGTCGTCTGAACTTTCACCAATATCATAGTGAACTGGGGGTATGAGGTCGTTTTGCGTTGCTGTGAAGGCTTCCTTCGAAGCTGCGACGGTTGCAGCCTTGATAAAGTTGTCGCGGTGCTGCTTCGCTAGATCGCTCGCGTTCCTAAACGCGGTAGCGCCTCATACGAAACCGTCACGATTGCCGGTCATAGCCCAGGCGTCGACTTGGGTCCTGTGATACCCAGGTGGCCCTTCCTCCGATTTTGGCGCCGCGGAGTGATGGGCGTACATCTTGAGGGTGCCATCATGGTACGTCGAACTGAGGGTATAGGCCCGTCCATCGTAGTCTGGTTGTTCTCTGTAGTTTTGCAGGCTGTGCATAGCGCGAGACCCAAATGCACCATCGTAGCGAGCTTGTCGTGTTGCGACAGCCGCGCTGCCATCCGGTTCTTTTACTTCGAAGAAGACATTCGGGGCCATGAGCTTGTCGTGCATTGACGGTGGGATTACATGATGGCCAAGCTCATTGCGAACAGGCCGGGACAAATCCTCGGGATATGCTCCATAGTAGGTGTCTGGCTTAGCTGGCGCAGTGATCCCATCGGAGCTGCTCGAGATGCCCAAATACAGAGAACTGGGACGCTGAGAGTGTGCGGTCGTGGCTTCGCAAGTGCTGACATGATGTTGTCTAAATCTGGCTCCTCCGACGAGTACAAAGGGTATACATCATGATCTGTCAGATGCTGATCAAAGTCGCGACTGTAGGGCGTAGACTTCTTGGATTTCGCCGTAACCGATGTGGGTCGGGTAGAAGTTGGGTCTGCGGATCTGCTGCTGCCGCAACTGGAGGATTTTGCGGAACTCATGACGACGGGCGAAGAATAGAGTGTCGTGGGAGGGAGGTCTGAAGTCATCGTCAGAATTGGATGGACTGTGCATATAGGTATACCCACTCCTCGCAGGTCAGACAAGTCTGGTCCGCCGTGTCTCGCGAATCGTGAAAGGTCCTGGTAGCTAGTGGTCGTGGATGCGGCGTGCTCGTCGGGTCGGTTCGAGGCAGCTGTACAGGAGCGAAGGCGCGGAATCCTCGTGCGGCGATCAAACTCTTTCAAAGCTCGATGCGTCGGCTCAATCTTTGACAATCCGTCCCAAAACTCTGGGGGATATTCCCAAGACTCCCAAGCCTCGAGGTCGCGATGGGTTCTCAATTTGATTCTCTTCGGCGGATAGTCTCCGGGGGAGCTCTCGGGAGAGACTATACCTTGCTGATGTTTTCTGCGCTTTCGCGGCGCCATGGGCAATTGACGGACTTCGAGAGCATGAAACGAACGGCACTGGTGTTGTCGTATACGGGTTGCCATTGATGGTCACGTTTTAAGTAGCGCTGTTTCGACGTGTGTGAAGGACAGAGGACAGTTTATTTCAACCAATCGTTAATCGCATGGAGGCAACAGGGTAGGCTCGGCCCAGGCGGCTGACGACCGCAAGGGCCCCATCTGGTACCACAGCCGCCCGCGTTGGGGCGCGGGGCTCGGCCACGGCGTCTGGCGAGAGGGCGACGGACCGGTGGAGGTGATCGCCGGGGCAGGCAGGTCGCGCAAAGCAGGTGGTGACGGATACAACACCAACAAAAGTCGCTGTCTATCGACGAAATACCCTCCGCGCAACTAGTGCGGCAATTAAGCCCTTGGCATACTCATCATCTCATGCGCGTTGACTTCCTCAACCAGGCCGCAGCTAAGTCTTCACTCGGCCATAGGTACTCCACGCTCTGCAGGCTCCTAGCCCCAGCTCCTTCAGCCTAGCCAAGCGATTGGAGGGATCTAGCAATGGTATTGACGACAGTAACGGAAGTGACGGGCACAATCAAGGTAAGTTGGTATTGGCAGCCCGCCAGGCTCCCTGAGGCCCCTGTTGATCGGTGCGAAATTCCGGCCGCCACAGCTAATGCCTCCACATGTTGGGTAGGCGCCAAGCTACGTAGGCCCAAATCTTAGCCGCATCGCTCAACATGGATAATCGCGGCACAGGCAACCCATCGTTGTTAAATGCTGCGAACCGTCTTGTCTTCAGTTATAGCCGTAAAAGTTGAGAATCTCTTCTCGCGGTCCGCAAACCGGTCTGCACTACCAAGATACTCCAAGCGAAGCAGAAGTTGCCGGGGCCGGTGTGTTCCCGCGGCCGCTCGTCGCCTATGATCGGCAGTCATCGCCCGCGCCAACTCGCCGAGGCCTATTTCAGTAAGCGTACAAGATTCTCCAGGTAAGATGGCAAAAAAAAGATCGAACGGAGGGCATCTCGACATTCGCCTCGGAAAGTCAGTCGACTCTGGCGTGAAGCAGGTCGACGAGAAGCGTGACGGAAATCTGGTCAAGTTCCTCCTGAGAAGCGACGGCATCGTCCAGCAGGCGCTCGACATACAAGTTTTCGCAGTGTTGGCTTGGTCGGGTTAACCTATGCTGCCCATGGCCTGCCGACCTGTATTCTGGAGACTACCATCTGCTGACGCCCTCTACTCGCCCGGAACGGACACGATCCAACGTGGGCCATGCCCAAGGGCCTCACCCCCATCACCCTTCTGCAGGTGTACTAGAATATCTACGAGGATATTCTTGGCAAGATTCACAGCCGCTACGCACGCTTAGGAAGTTCACTGCAAAGTGGCTGACGACCTATCCGACCAAAGTAGATTTCTTGTGATGGGCCGCAGTATGGATAGAAAAAGCTAACACAGAAGTCCAGTTGGAGAGAAATTTAGCAAGGGAAACAAGACCAACGTCGCCAAATCCGTGTGGCCAAGTGACAAGGAAACCGAAAAGCGTTCATATCGATGGCAATCCACCTGAACAGAGCTGGTGAGCCCGGGAGGGTCGTTTCGGGAGGCTATTTACACGCAAGTGAGTCCGTAACCACAGGTGCAGCCAAACCGCAGCATTAGCTACAGCAGTCCTTCAAACGCCAGCTCCTCTTTTCGCATAAGGCACACCAGTGTACCAGTATCAGGTTGCTACAGGTCAAAGCGATTGATCCAGTAGCGACGGAAGACGCTGGCCGCAAGTTGCCGCCGGGAAGAGTCCGTCAGAAAACGCAGCTCGATGTCACAAAACGATAATATGTCTCGCCGCGGCTATTTAAGCACTACACAGCTTAGCAGTATTCGTCTATTATATGTTCGTGGTCATCCGCAATTTTGGTCAAGAGACCAAGCATATTTCCAATCTTAGCTTTGATCCGGCAAGTCAATCTGGATTCGGTACAGATCAGGGACTTTGTAAGCATTTGATGGGCAGATGTATTCATAACAGCCTATGCCGTCTCCACGTCCCAACAAATCCCTATACATGTAGTGTAATCCACCAGCCAGCGGTCAGATGCCGTAAGAGAGATGCTGTCCGGCTGATCCTCGCAGTCTAGGTACATACGCTCATAACCTTTTGTGTCGAGACAAAACGTCACTGTCTTTTCTCTCCCTCGCGTTTGATAACAGTATCAGGACAATCTCTTCTGCTCATGGAGTTGATTGTTTCGGAACAAATTATTGTTCAGGAGCCACTAGTTTCACATGGCAACTAGATGAGGTTTTTTACTAGCCTGCTGTCCGTTGCATCTCGAGCTTTGGATTAGAGTCTAGGCTGGTATATGCTTCAAATTCTGGCTTCAACATATCCCAGCCCACCTTAAGATGATAATTGTCGATCATCAACCAGTGTTGAGGCAAACGACATTCAATTAAGGAGCAGCAAATCTCCTGGGCTCTTTCGATGTAGCCTAGAAAAGGGTCGTTGTTGTCTTCTAGTCGCGACTGGAGGCGGTGAAGGTGTTCCTGTTTTTGCTGGCTGCTTGCTCCTTCAAGACATGACTTTTCGGGAACAACACAAAGAAGCGTGTACTTACTCTGACCCCAGTTCTCGCGCAGTTGGCAAATATCGTACCAGACCTTGGAGCGGGCCTGTGACGATCTTATTTCCTTTAGGTCGCCTGCGTTGGGAGAAGATTTCAAAAGTTTCGCAATTTCCTGATCGTTGCGTATTTCCAGCATTTTTTCATAGAAAAGCACTGCGTTATACCGGCGATAAAACTCGCTTTTAGAGCCAATTTTGATGGACGACCATATGCTCGCGAAATCGGAGTTGATCGTAAGGCGAGAGCTTCGGTGGAATGCAACCGCCTCGCTCAGAAGCTTAAGAATAGTTTTACATTCTTGAGGCATGCTAGGTGGCATAATTTGAGATGCTTTGGGATGGCTTCCGGCAATTGTCTTCTCTGAACGGTTCTGGGCATTGGCTCTATGTCTGGGTGGGACAATCTGTGAAGCTGGTCTCTCTGAATAGCTGTTTGAGCCCATGGATAACTCATGGGAAGCAAGGCGAGAATCAGACAGAATAGGCTGGTCGTCTATTGACCTGACAGGTGTTGGTGGCGTATTGGCCATAGTCCCTCCTTGTGTAGTAGGGACCAACTCCGAAATATACGGAGGAGAATTGTCGGGAACAAAGGCCTCATTAAAGTAGTAGGAGGTGTCTTCAAGGGCAGCTTGCAGCCGTCGGTCTACCTCCTCGTCGCCAGCGTTCAGGTCCCGCGCCAGAAGCTCAACAAAGAACTTGGCTCTCAGTTTACGTACGAAGCCAGTATCGTTCCGGCGTGCAGGCGCTCTACCAGCCATGAGCATCCGAATAGTCAGGAGCATCAGAAGCCCGGAATCCTCCCGGGTTGAAGGTCTGGCGAGGCAACACCAGTGTACCTGGCGGTTTGGGAACAAGCTCGAAAACCACTCCCGCACTTTTGGTTCGACAGGACCTTCCTTGTCCAAACCGTAGATATGTATGATATCGGGATATGCAACTGCTGCGAGCCAAGAATCCTCATGTTGAATTGGTAGCAGCGTCATCGTGGTTTCTTGATCAATAACGACCGCGTCCGCCCTTGAGCCGGCAATAATGGGCTGATGGATTGGGCAAGAAGGCAACAAATCTTGTAGCAGACCCAGATACTCCGTCACCACGTTGATTTCGAGATGACCATTCCTCGCCATTTGCAACAACGATGGTGACACTTCATCGTGCTCGGTGTTCGTCGAGGCGGCTATAATATCCATGTACTCAACCCATTGATCGTTAACGGTAATATCAACATCTTCCAGTTCGATGAAATATTCTTTCGACTGAAACTCCCATGAAGTGCCTCTCACATCGTGTTTCAAAGACTGCGGATAGCGACTCTTGACGACTGCCAACACACTCTCCAGCATCCGCAGAGAGAGGGACGAATAGGGACGTGAAGCTAAGTTACGGAAAATGTCATAGTCATCCATAGTTCTGTAACTGTGGATCTAGAAGAAATGTGAGGGTTGGTTACGACTGCCTGCGTGGCCTTGTTCATATATGTTCTTGGCAGGTGCCAGTTTTGGACCACTGCCCTAATAGTAAGTAACAACGAAGTGGCCCTGTGCGAAGAGATCATTTTCCACCTTCCACGTCAGCACTCAATCCGCTTCATCCCGTAATGAACGGTGCCATCCGCGATACCGTGTTGTAGCGTCACATCGTCGACTCAATGGGATAGTGGCAGTGTCCTTCAAAGACGTAGGATCGCTGAGCACGTTTCTTCCGGCTTCTTCCTGTTGGCCTTCGCCAAACCCTCGCGGAGACATTTTTTATTTTGGCTTTACTTTGTACTGTACCTATAGGCTGATCACACCAGAGGCCAAATCCTCGAAACCGAATCGGCGTCGACTATTGCACGTCTGCGCCTTAGTCTCAATTCAGCCAAAACTAGCTTTCTGAAGATCTTAATCTGCCTGCTAGTACTGACTATTAAAACTTTGACTGGCCTCCTTCACAACATTGTCGACGGCAACTTCTCGGGGCGAATCTTTCCTGCTTATGGATTCCAAGCGGAAAACCCAGATTGAAGTCCCTTTTTTTGGCAACAGCTCGAGCACTACTTTGGAGAACCCCAGGGTCCCTAATGGACGAAGCCTGACTAATAGAACTGGCCCGAAGGGGCGCAATCTGTTCAAGCCACCGAATGTTTTAGAAGTCGACATACAGGTCAACAGGGAGGAAATGAATATCCCAGCGCAAATTCCAAGCAATTCTTCTCAAACTCCAACTGCTTTGGACTCTGGATCACTTGTCGATGTCAACTGGGGCTCTCCATGGAGTAAATACGAGGCCAGCCACAAGTTATCTGACCTGGGTGGAGAATTGTGGATGGCGATGTCGTTCGTTAACATCAGAAGATTTCCACGAGACGCCGCCGAGCAAACGCTCAAAAAGTTTCGTCGCATCAAGCACCAGAACGTTGTGGCTTTTTACGAAGCCTACATGACAGACGCCTATCTTCACGTCGTATTAGAGAGCATGACCTTTACTTTGCTCCACATCGTTAAAAACCCACACTACCCAAACGAAGCGCAGCTCGGCACTATTCTAAGCCAGGTATTCCCACGATAAGTTACTGGTAGACTGTTTCTAGCTCACCGGGGGTCTTTTTTAGGTGGTGGACGGCCTATGCTTTTTGGAAGAAGAGGGATGGCACCATCCTCTCCTCGATTGCGAAAACATTCTGGTCAGTGAAAGAGGCTTGGTAAAGATTGGTGGGTCTCCTACTATCAACGCAGCCTGAGAATCCTAACGATCGAGGCAAGCGAATCAACAGCTCTGCCAGTCATCTGAAGGCCTAGATAATCGTCGACACCTCGAAGCTCTCGACCATGTCACACAGTTGATCATGCAGAAGTTCTATAAGCAGAGGCCTGGTATTGACGATATGGATCGCTGGCCCCCCGACTCAGATGGATTCACGTTCCTTGCCTCAATCGAGTCTGCAAGCTCGGTCAAGGAATTACAAAAGGTCCGTGACTACTCCATCCCCTCCATCTCGAACGACAATTTTAAGTGGGACTCCCAGCATCCGCTCATGCGATACCGGGATGTCAGTTGCCTCCGCGGACTCATAAAGCTCACGCAAGTCACTGTTTTCCCCCGAGAATACTCTTTGCAATAGTCATGAGCAAGGAACAGCATTTCGTAGATGCTTTTGGGTGTTGTGCAGCCCTGCTTTCCACCTCTCCAACTTGATTCGACTCTGTTTCTCAATGGCTCAGACTGCATCAACCCAATCAAATCCCTTTTCCCCTCACCTCCTCGTTCGTTTGCTTTCTTTCGCCCAGGTACACTTCTTTCGTGAGCCTGCCTCTGTTTCACGTATGTCGTGTGTGATGAGTATGCTAGCCAGCTCTTATCGACACCTTAACTCTTGTAGAGCATCTAAGCGCGCGCACATACAATTATAGGAAGGGGGAGAGAGAGGGAGAGGGAGGAGATAAACAAAGCACGCAGTCTTCATCAATCAGATGCAGAGCTGGGGCTGCGCAAACCGAGGGATTTTTGAGTTCACGGTGCGAGCTGACGCTGTGCCTTTCCCGCGCAATCCACTTCCCAATTGGTCTCGTTCGCTAAGGCTTACTCAAGTCATCGCGGACCGTCCATGACCTATCCTCAGTATGGGTTTCCTTGTCAGGTAGTTGAGATCTCATCTATGTATCATGAAATCTTTAGGGATGCGCAAAGCCCTTCCTCTATTGTCCTATCGCTGAGTTCACAGCTCTAGTCCGTAGGCCCGCCTCCCTCTCCATATCTTTAATTTATTCGATTCCTCGATTTATTTCTGTCATTCTATATGCGTTCGATTCACATTGGGCTCGGAAGATTTAGCGGCGCCTTAGCTATGTAAATTTGAAGACAAATCCGCTTTTGTCTGGACGTCCTGTGTGTCTGATGCCAAAGTCGTGTCATGATCCATATGAAGAACATCATAAAATTGGAACCAGTTGGCGATTCAGATCAATAGCACCTTCCGGTCGCTTTCAGAGTGTGCAGGGTCCTGTAGATGGGCTGCACAATGTCTCACACTGGTTTCAGCACGCTGGTTCTAGCACGCGGGTTTTAGCACGCTGGTTTTAGCACGCTGGTTTTAGCACGCTGGTTCTAGCACGCTGGTTTTAGCACGCTGGTTTTAGCACGCTGGTTTTAGCACGCTGGTTCTAGCACGCTGGTTCTAGCACGCGGGTTCTAGCACGCTGGTTTTAGCACGCGGGTTTTAGCACGCGGGTTTTAGCACGCTGGTTCTAGCACGCTGGTTTTAGCACGCTGGTTTTAGCACGCTGGTTTTAGCACGCTGGTTTTAGCACGCTGGTTTTAGCACGCGGGTTTTAGCACGCGGGTTTTAGCACGCGGGTTTTAGTACGCTGGTTTTAGCACGCTGGTTCTAGCACGCTGGTTTTAGCACGCTGGTTCTAGCACGCTGGTTCTAGCACGCTGGTTTTAGTCTCACCCGTTGCGACGGAGCTGAAGTTGCGAACCCCAAGCTACGACCGACCGCGAAACACGATTTCTATTCCATCAGTCTCGTATCTATATGGCCTGTTTGCACTAACAAAATTCGATCCAGTCCTTTCTCTACGACCTCCTTATAGCAGTCCATAACTAACAAAGGTTGCCTCCCTACGGAGATGGGCAGAACTTTCTGTTTGTACATAGCTTCTTGCAGAAGTGATTGAAAACGAAGGGCTTCGTTTGGGTTTTGTGTATCAAGATAGACGTGCTCTTCTCTTCTCACCTCCTCCGTAATGAATTCGAGAGTGACTATACGTGTCGGAGACTGCTTAGTATGATGGTTTCCCTGTTGATTGGCTAGGATTTGCTCGTGGCTCGTTTTTGGTTCTTGGGGTTGGTCAAGACCTTGTGGTGGACAGCCACCTGAGGAAAGTGACTCGGCGTCGAGCGTGCCGGTGTCAAATGAAGTGACTTGCAGCTGCGGAATGTTCCGACGAGGAGCACAAAAAAAAGCCAAGTGTATAGATCTGCAAATGAACAGGCAAGCAAGTCTTTCGCCACCTGTGCACAGATCCTTGTCCATGACGTCAATAAACAACGACTCGGCGGCCTCCGCATAGGACATCTGATTTAACCATGGCCGAGAGCTCTGCCTCGTACCAGAAGCATCATCAGTGAAGAAATCATGTAACTCCTGAGCTGAAACAATGCGCTGCAGGTCTGGAAATGTATGTGCAATCTTGTCGGCCACGGCTTGGAAGTCATGACCGTCGTAATCGTAGTCTCGCGATGGGCGGGCCATCGACAATGCTTGCTGTGCAATTTCGAAATCTGGCGATACAGACTTGAGCGAACGGATATTACTCGTATCGAACCCCAATTTTGATGCCAGATCCGCAAGCTTGGGAAGCAACCCTGGGTTGGTGCCCAGCTGTCGGAAATTCCTCATCGTAAAAAGCCATAATTGCCGCAATCCGAGCTGGAAACGGGCGTCTGCTTCAACAGGCCGATAGGAGAAATCCATGTTGGAGTTCTCAATTGGGTACAAGTTTCCTTCTTTCATTGAATGCTTGAACGCCTTTGTCAATGCGGTCTGTACAGTGAGCCCATCGTGTGGTATAGCAACCAAGCGCTTCATCCACTTTGCACACAACTCAAGATATTTGACATCGTTGAAAAATGTTGACAGAGATGGGATTGTAGACTCAATGGAACGAAGAGTTTTCCAAGTCGCAATTCGCTCAGATTCGTCGAAACACCCGAAGATACGGCCGTCCAAAACTGCGTTCCGAAGCACTCGCTCGTCTTCTGCCGAAAATCTGGGGCACCGGAGCTCTACAGACTGAACGGTAAACGGATCAATCTTTTTGAGGTTGGACTCGACATTCCCGACAAGATAAAGCCATGTGTTGTAAATATGCTCCAGGTAATTCACAACTTCCTATGGCCGATCAATACAGGTGTTACTTTACGCAGGAAAGGACGCCAACCTCGTCGCATTTGAGAGTGATGAGCCTATGAAGGTTACCAATCACTAGGCCTAGTCGTAGACCGGGAATTCGTGATAGCTTATCGAAGGCATTGTAGAAAGCTTGGTGTTTAGCAATCTGTCTTACACACCTCCTCTTGTGGTCAGATAGAGAGGACTCTAATCGGCGTGTGAGTCGGTGATCATTGCGCCTCTTGCTTCGAAGTATTTCCCAAAATACAGTGCGGTCTGTGAGGTCGGCCTTAAAATGCTTCTTGTGGTCGACCATCGATTGAATACAGTATACTGTACTGATGCACATACAATGTCTATTTGGAATCCCGTCTGGGTCGCCTTTTTGTATTCAATAAACAAACTGGAGCTTGTTGATACTTATGTACTGTAACCCATGCGTGCCTAACACTCCCACCACCAAACGGGTCCCTTAGCGTCACAACTTTGTTTTCTGGTTCACGTACACAGCAGCTTGCGTCACCTTCCACGGTCACGTGTAAAAGTGAAGATCTCACGCCTGATCTAAGGTGCATACGGCTTTGTAATCTGCTTTTTGTTTTTGCGCCCACGGCTCAATCAAGCATAAGATTCACTTTCGTCTGCGTCTTTGATCCACCCGGTACCTGCGGCTCAAGTTTATGGCGGCCCCTCTTGCTACCAAGCCGCGTGGAAAAAATGGCTGCGAACATACAGACACACTTGTCAGCACCCATTTCTGCGACTAAAGATTAAGAGTTAAGGATGCGATAAAGGTCCCGAACCAGCTTATCTGCGCACGCAGCCAGTACTGATTATTGTAGTAGACATCATGCAAATTATTTGGGAAAGGTTTGTTCGGAAATGTCACGGGTCAATTACATAGCAACTTGCGGTTCGGTATTTCGACCAAACTTTGTGCCGTTTGACCCGCTGGCTCAACGGTACTATAGTACATAAACCCAATCATTATAGTTCCGTCACAACTTGGAGTTCAGCGTACCGAGAAGAGGCTAGGTAGTATGTTGGCGGCCAGAGCCAAGACGTGCTCAGATGTTACTTCATGGACGTGACTATGTAGATGCATTGTACACGCTGACTCAGAAAGACAACGCTAGCCCCGCATCCTAGATGACTCCACTCAGAATAGCTGAGATTCCGATGTAGATTTCGGTTGGCGCTATTCTGGCTTGGAAACCACATACCCAGCTGGAAGTCATTCAGATCCAGTTCTTGCTTTTACACGGTTCAATCGATTACAGAAACGACCGTGAAGGTATGCTGTATACGTGTGCGCGGCATCTTTCCTGCCTACGATACACGACAGTCCGAAGGGTAGTATGACTAAGAACGGGAGCTCTTCGAGGTCCAAGCATCCCGTGAAGGCAGCATCATTTGAACTACGCGCAAGTGATTTACTCCAGGAGATGCATACTAAAATATTCGTTACACTCAAGGCGGAATAACAAAGAATCTGGTTGAACTACGTCATAACTCTTTATCTATGGGGAAAAGGCATTTAGCTAGGCATGCCAGCTTGTGGGGTTCTAACAGCTAAGCTTCGCACCAATCGAGCAATTCGAGATACCCGAAAGCAAGGCCCTATACATATATACAGTACGGTCCTGCACATACTGTACTGTACCGTACATCATCATCTGTCACGGGATCGCGTGTCAGGGTGGTGTCAAGGGTATCGCGAGTCATGGCGAAGCCACGACCCCTTTTCTTGCGGCGACGCGCCGCTCGCACAGCGCGATCTCTCTTTTCTCTTCTTTGCGTTACATCTTGTATCTAGACCTGACCCTACGGGTCATCACAATCCACCTACTACTTGGAACCTGATCTCTACAACCGTGACCCTCACATCATCCTAAAGACTGGCCAGGGCTGAAAATGGCTCCACAGACACAAGGTGGAGAAAATGTCCTGTCGAAGAAATTGAAGCACACATTATCCACAAAAGGCTCACTGAGCTTGACTGAGCCGGGAAGAGCCTGACTGTGCCTGACTGAGCTTGACTGAGCTTGACTGAGCCTGACTGAGCTTGACTGAGCCTGACTGAGCTTGAGCCTGACCAAGCCAGACTGAGCCAAGAAGGGGCCTTGAAGAGCATGGGTGAAGACCACCAAACCTTTCGAGGAGGCGATTCCGCTGTTCAGACCAGGATTTTTAGCACTGTTCACACAACTAGTACAGAATATTTAACTGGCTAAATGGGGAAACGGATGGCACAGTCCACGCGATGACCAAGATAGGGATGCATTCACACACTGTCCTTCTTCAGGCCTTCCCAAGGATCTTTGGGCCAGCTTCCGCTGGCCCGTGCACTGGGTAGCAATTACGGTGGGCACACTTCGAGCCCCGTGCACAGCACGGGATGGCAGGCGCCGTAGCTACGGCAACGCTAGCATTGTCACTTTGGTTGACCCGTACCAAATTTAGTCGCGTTATTGTTCCACCATACCCTTCATCAGCACTCAACACCACCACCACCTCGCTTCCTTCGAATAGCAAGTCGCGCCGCACATAGAGGATGGTCAACAACGAAAGATCATTGTACTGACGACACGATACGCGTTTTGGCATGAAACAGGGAGGAATCATCGACTGGCTCGCTAAGACTCAATATTGTAAATACCAATGGTCTGGCTCCAGCCCAGGCGACAGCGACACTCATCAGCACGACCAAACTCTGGACGATTGTTCTGCGTCGCGGGAGGATCTGCAACGACCTTGCAAACGTCCTAGGCTCTCTGGGCCAGATGCAGTGATTGCATCGCTTAGAACTCCTCCACTTTCCTCGCAAGGCTCTGCAACGGCTCTAGCGATGGCCCGGCCAGGAAAGCGCAGTCGAGACAACGAGGCAAGCGACCACGAGGACCGACCTTCTGACGGCGGCAGTGACGAGGACATTCTGGTGACCCCAAGGCCGAATCGGAAGTGTGCCGATCTAGAGAGCCTAGCGAACACATCAACCCGTAGCTCCAGGCACTCAGCCTCGTCGGCGTCGCGTAGATCATCACCAAGAAAACAGATGCGTACGGCGGAGCGCGTCTCTAAGGGTTTTCTACATGAAAAGCTCTCTCAAAACAGGGATAAGCTGAGCCCCTCGCTCTTGGAGCTGCTTGGGAAGTTGGAAGCATTTGACAGCGGCGTGGGTTTACTCCCCGTAGCGACACGAGAAGAAGTACACGAGCAACGTGCCCCAGCTCAATGAACCTCGTCACTGACATCTGTGCCAAAAACAGCTCGCGCACCTTCACATTCCCGATTACGCATACATCGCAGCCGACCGACAGCCTCCCCTGCTCTCTCGTCTTCCTGGTCCCAACTTCGTCCAGCGGATCCTGAACCGCGCTGCCGAATGCGAGATTGAGAGAGAGGGCGAGTGCTCCTGGAATATGGACGTCCATGCACCGTTGTTAGCGTGGGTCTGTCGTCCAGATGATATTCCGGGCTTAGTCGACTTCAGATGCTGGTACGAGTGACCACCGCCCTTGTCCGGCTAAACGGGAGTCTTGTCAGATAGTAAGCTGACCTAGAACACATACAGTACGTCGGCCACGGTTCACCCTGAGTACCAGCCAAGAGGCTTCCCGTCCAAGATGGTAGACTTCTACATAGTCATCCGCCCCCCGAGAGGCAGCATCGAGGATATTACGATCGATACTATTACCGATTCGATGCCCGGAAGATCTATCAACCACAGCGACTGGGGCAACTTCACGCGGAACCCGATCGCCATCTCGTTCGAAACGAAGCGTTCTGACGAGGACACAAATAAGTCGATTCTCCAGATGGGGACATGGCACTCGTGCCAATGGCGAAGTCTTCGGAAGCTCGCTCACGGGTCTCCCGAGCGTAAGCTTGGTTTTCTCCCCGGGGTCATGGTCCTCGGCCATGAATGGTCGTTCGTGGCGAGTGTACCAGGCCCTGCTGAGCAGTCCATCCTATACACAAGGCAACGAATGGGAACAACCGAGACCGAAGTCGGCATATACAAGATATTGGGGGCGCTGCAACTCTTGCGTGACTGGACAGCCAAAGAGTATTGGCCGGCATTCAAGACCGGAATATTGAGGCTCCCATAAATTTGCGGATATTGAATCGTCGAATTGCTAATGCCCTAACGTCGTCTTCTGGTGTTTTACGCGCCGATGCACTTCCCCTAGCAACCCAACTCCTCGAAGTCAGGAGACTTCTTGGACCGCGTCAGTATGCAAATTAAAGGGCTTCGATGTTTGGCGTTGTCGATTTTTGTTCTGCAAGGTTTACTAGCGTAAGATGCATTGGCGACTTCACCCATTCCGCCATCCATCGACCTGCTTTGACACTAGTGCACGATGTAGTGTGTTCAATGGTAGCTTTTCAATGTCTGTCCGCTTTCACTGGTACCTCACATTAGTTTTTCATCAAAACTCGATCGGAGAAAGCGCCAGCGATGTGCAAAGCATCGTGTCCTTTCCCTGCCTGCTTTCGACCGTATATTGACGGTGGAAACGGTAGCATTGCCTAGAAAAGCTTCGCGAGGGCGCTGTTGTATTGGGCTTCGGAATTTGTCCTTCAGGCGATAGGCACTGCACAGCTCGACAGCGGCGGACGGCGACTTGGACCTGCGCTTACCTTTTAAGCATTCTATGGCATCGTCTTCGCTGACGCTGAGGAAAGCTTCTGTGAGGCCTCACGGGATCCCGGGATGAAACTTGCGCCGTTTTTCTCTTCCTTGGTGGCGTTTTCTTGATTCCATCAATGACAGCCCTGTGGCCACATCTTCGTTGGCATTTGAATTTTCCTTCACATCGCCGCTGTCGCTAAACGCCTACTCGTTTGGACCGCGGATGCTATTCGCAGTAGCAATATAAAGGGCGCATTGCTTCGATAGGTCGGCTTCCGTTAATGCATTGGTTCACTTATTGTGGTAGACCAGGAGCCTGCGATGTCTGCTGTTATTAACAACTTTGGCGAAGTGTGAAGCGGCTGACAGCATTTGCGTTCAACACACGTTCCCCCCTCACCTCTCCTATTCCTCGTCATTGTTACTATTGAGATTTAGTAGCATAGTGTAGTCCTGGTGATACGCACCGCTGCTTAGCGTCTAGGACTTGACATGGTCAACTACCTTGATCAACTCACTAAATAAACAGGTGTAGGGCTGGAAGGCTTTCCACTTGTACTGGAGCCCATTTTCCAAGCCGAGGACTCATGTTTTATTGCCTCTATATAAAGGGCATCAATTACGATACGATGCGTTACACCGCTACTTACTAGTCTCTGAATGTACTCTAAGTTCGACCAGTGGTCTAAAGAGATCCTCGGCTACACGCTCAAAGCCGGGAGAGCGCATCAAATCATCCACATCATTCATTTCCTTCCCTGGTGCACTTAGGAATACACTGACTTCTGTGTTTGGTGCCTTGCGAAACTTGGGCTTGACAAGACACCAAACAGCTGCAAACCGACCAAACCATGACAATGAATCTATCCAAGTCAGGAAAGGTCTCAGGCGAATCTTGCATTCAGTTCTGCTACGACGGGGCAGAATTAAATTGGCAGCCAAATTCACGGCAGAAGCTCTATAGGTACCGATTGAGATCAGTGGAACTGCCATAGTCTACATGATGTAAGGAAATGATCAGTCGCTGCCGCCACTGACTGCCCGACAGCATTCTTTATGGAAACGGAGACGTGATTCAGATGCTGAGTCTCTGTGCGCGAAACGAACGGAGTGAGCTAAAGACTTGCTCGCTCTCTCTGATGTCTATTCATGAATGTTCATTGAGATTGTAGTCAGCGCGATCTCCATATCATATGCACCCATTACTATGACGCTCAGGCTTCGGCAGGCTCCTGTCACGAGCTTGAATCGTTCTCTGAGAACGGCAGTATTCTACTTAGCCTTACGCTGGTAGGACGTATTGATAACTCTTGAGAAAGCTGACTGGCTGAGCCACAAGGCTTTACCCCTCGATCATGGAGTCGGCAACTATGATCCGCCTCCATCACCCGCGATATAGATTTCCAGAGACAAGACATTATTTGAAACACAGGTACCCGCGCCGCTGACAGACCAGAATTGTAAGGAAGCTGCGCTGGTGGTGACGGCTGGGTCGAGCTTGTTACATACCTGGCAGCAGCTTCACCCTCCTCGCATCTTAGAACCAGATGCTTATTTGATTTGTCACTGCCCTTTGAGTAAAATACAAGTACTTATTTACCTCAACAGAGAACGCTAAATTAACTTCGGAATGAGGTGTTCGATGTCTATTAAGTTGGTGGATATCAATTAAGCCCAAGAGGAGAGAAATAGCAGGATTGATTCTCGCCAAGACGTGCATTACGCGATGTTCGAGTCCAACCACGCGACGTGAGTGATAAGAAGATGCTGGACAACATCGTAATCCTCCAGTCATTTTACCGTGAGGTTCATCGGCTAACTTTGCGATAAGCTCAGATCGCAAAACACCCTGGCGAGTTGATACTGAGCTATTTCATGGGGACGTCTCAACACATCAACCTATAAGGGTTGCTCTGCTCCATCAAGCTAACGGTTTCATCCCATGGAGTCTCATTCCGGCGGTTCCGACCATGCCAATCAACCCTGTTCCATCTCGGCCTTGCTCGTCGACCCGACCTCACCCGGGCCTCGCCCGAGTCTCACCCTGGCCTCACCCAGATCATCGCAGAAGGTGAGCAAAAGCAGCGAAACTCACCCAGCTCACCCTATTGGCTAGAGGGTGATGACCCGAAGAAGCTCCGAATGTCGTTTCCATGGAATGGCTCCCATCCCGAGCCAAGCTTGTACTCCAACAGGCGTTCTTTGGGAACGAGCTCCCGGATTTTCTCAGTATGCTCCTGGCATATCAACTTGGAGTTTCTTTGCCATTGCGTTTGATTGCTGCAGTGAAATATTGCGTATTGCAGATCCCTTGTAACAGTAACGGGCTTCAGCGTTTGGAGAGGTTCGATCAGATTAAGTACAGCCCACATCTTCCAGGGGAAGAAAGACCTGATGACACCTTCGTCATATGACTTATACCATTTATCCAGATCTCGGCAGACAAGTACAACTTTCGCCCTAATAGCTTGATAAGCCAGTCGATCCTTTGGGTTGTGGTACGGTTGGCTCACCTCAGGATAAGTCTGGAGAAGCTCCTCTACGAACCCGATCACCGGGTTATCTGAGACAACAGCCCATTCTCCAACCAAATCATCGAAATCTTCTGTCGTAAAGGGCTTGCCCTTTCCGTAGTACTTGGCCTGCACTGCATCGAACCAGCGAAGATGGTCTTGCGGTCTTTCGATATAAACGAATCCGTGGTATGTCGGCATTCCGAGCTCTTCATATGCGGCCTTCATGGAAAAGCTCCCCGTCCGAGGAAGACTCATGTGCAAGACTTGAACATTGGATCTTTGAGCCACGCTGGAGGTCATTTCTGAGCGCATGCTGCTAAAAGCATTAAGATGATCAAGAATATAGACTTCAAGGTCTTGGGGGAGGAATTGTTTTTCATACAAAGCTTCTGCGCCGCGGCTCGTTGCCTACGGGTTTCTGTAAGCTGATCGAAAGTCCTATACATAAACACCACAATATCTATGCGCCATGAGTCATCTGGTGACCTTATCTTTGACGCTCGTTCCTGATCGAGGTTCGCTTGCGTTTCTTCAGTTGTTCTGTCCAATCACAATAGGTCGACCGTAAACATCGTGGCGAATTACACCAGGTCTTCGACGCCAAAGCACCTAAAATCATGCATGCCGCCATTCGTGTCAATCCGATCACACTCACGCTGCGGGTTTCAGCCTTTGAAGATCCAGTGGTAGGGTCGTTATCGCCCAACCAAGTATTCAGATACGGGAGATATGTAGGAGTTGGCGGGATGAAACTAGTCTTCTGTAATTAGCATCTGATTGCTCCAAAATCAACCTGTTTTGTTCTGCAACCTCTGATGTAACATATAACAAGAGGATGTACCTTGATCGCCTCTTTTCAATGTTCATAGGAAGTCATAGTCAATTAATAATGTATTGACTCTGATTCTTCATTACCTCTGTGGCATTGTTTCTTTTCCATCTGCAACGGCCAACAACCTTAAATCGTCAATGGACGTTGGTGTGGATTAATTATTTCAGAAAATGCCCTGAGGCACATTCACGCCATAGAGACAACCTCAAACGGCGCCCAAAACCACGTTCCTTCTTCATCCAATGCAGGGAAGCGTCCACTTTTGTAAAGTATGTCGAAACTTTACCTTGAGAAACATACTTTACCTTTACAGGTCCCTTGCACGTGACTTAACCTCTTCAAGAATCTTGGTGCCTGGATTGCAGCCACATCAGCTCTCGCTGAATAACTCCTCATCCTCAACCACTGCAACACACGTTACCCAACTTCTCTCACAATTCTCACCTTATTTTCAGTCAACCACTTTGAGTTCGCACGTCTAATTAGAAAATCAAGGCATCAACGCATTATGTCGTGGTCCTCTACGCAGCAAGAGGCCGAGGGAGTAGCCCCGATCGCGCAGTCATGGCATCAATTCGAGCCAACGATCAACACTTGGGAGATAGTCGAGACCCACGACGTCAACAATCCTCCCCCATCCGCACCTCAAGATACTACCGAAATAAGCCCTCATTTTGTTCTCGCCACGTGGAACGTGGAGGCATTTGATCAGGAGCCTGCCCGCCGCATCACCGCAATTCTCGACCATCTTCTGAACCACTCGCCCTCACCCGATATAATCTTCTTCCAAGAAGTGTCGACAACGATGCTTAGTGCGTTGCTGAACAACAGCATAGTTCGCGACAATTGGTATTCCAGCGAAAAAGACTCACGAAACTGGATAGGCGCTCCTCTCACCGCTTTCGCTACAATGACTCTCCTATCCAAGGCCAAATTTGGTCACATCGGCAGGGCAGCTCTGGCGGGTCTAGGACGGGTCTCGCGAATCAAGTATCGATCTTTCTACAGACGGGACGCACTGTGCAGTGAGGTGTTTGTACCATCGCGGCAGCCGGGGGCTCAGATGACTGCGTACAAGCGGCTCCAACTTGTCAACGTGCATTTGGACTCCCTATCAAACGGGGCGGCATGTCGCCCAGCGCAACTGCAGTGTGTTGGATCACTTCTACACGACGTTGGCCATGGGCTGGTAGCGGGAGACTTCAATCCTGTGACTCCACATATCGATGCAAGCCTGGTGGAAGACAATGGCCTCCTCGACGCGTGGAAGGAGTTGAGAGGCGAGGAGACTGGATACACGTGGGGAGTTAATGGTACCGAAAGATTCCCCGCGAACCGGATGGACAAGGTTGCAATGGTGGAGCTCAGACCACTGCATATTGAAGTTTTGCACCCGATGCAGGTACTTCTACCTGGTGAAGATGGCTCTGTTCCATGGAGCGACCACTCCGGACTTAAGTGTACTTTCACGCTTGCCTCACCTTGAGTAAGCCAAATTGCAGAGGCTGGAATTATCCAAATAGTCATAATGTCATACTTTACTATCGCAAGAGTCCTTTGGGTCTCACAATGTTTTCTCTACTTTGATCGCCCTGTGCTCTGGCTACGTCAGCGCTAGCACCAGTGTCAGCAATAAGCGATGTAGCTGCCTGGAAGCCCCCCTCACATGTAAATTCACCACGGACTGTCATAGAAGACCAAGCTCATTGGCTTACATCTGGCTTCCTGTGGGAATTCTTCAGTTTTTGCTTGAATCTTTGGCTAACTTGAGTTTCCTCTCACGACTCTCAGACAATTGACTCCCTTGACGATCAAATAACAATAACGATAATAATAGGGCCAACACGACCTGCGTCAGCTGGTTTCCCTATCAATTCCTTGTCGAGACTGTATTCATTAAGACACTTTGACATCTACTTTGTGCCGCATCATGGAGCATCTTCCGATACCCCGCGACCCAATTAGTGAACATCCGACAATAGCATTGGGCACCAAACAGTTCCATGAACCTGGGCCTTTTTCCGACTACCCGACACAGCATGGCGAGGTTCTCAACGCACAGTATCCACATGTTCCCACTCAAGCCGATGCCCTTCAAGGGCGGTTCACAGCCGGAATATCGCATATGCAGGTTATTGACTATTACCAAGGTTGGTTGTTCTGCTCCTTGCTCCAGGAGTTTCTGGGAGACCTGTATAAATGGCAAAAATATACGTCTTGGACATACGACGATCAACAAAGGCTCAAGACTATCAGCCTATCTACAAAGACTTTGCACGAGGACCTGGCATCGTTACGCGCAAGCGGGCCGCTGGCATCCATCCGAAGCGGTGATGCATATGAAGAGTACCTAAAAGAATGTTTGGATCAAGCATTCGAGGCCTTTGATGAGATCGATTTCAAATTCCCGGGCTTCTCGGCGGCCTTTGCCGAAGAAATTCTATGCCTGGCCAGCTTGGCCGAGACATTAGACTCTGCGGTTCAGACGGCACTCGTTCACGGACCAGTCGCCGGTAAGTTACGCACCCTCGGATAAGAGCTAGCAAATTCCAGACCCTGGAGCCTATGCTGATGCTGCCTCTCTATACAGAAATGGACCGAGGTGTACAGCACTTCCCAGAGTCAGCCAAGCGCCCATGGTTCTCCAAGGTCGCCTCCTTGCTTGATCTGTCCTCGGGAAATAATAAGCTCGCAATGATTAAGGCCGGCTGGTGCCCTGGTGATATCACTAAGATCGGCGAGAGCTTCAACACCATCGCCGCGTTCTATTACTTTAGCAAGTTCAAGGCGGATTCCACCGTGGCAGACTTACACAAAGACTGTCCCGAATATGGCTGCAGTCTCAGAATACCGGCAGAGCCTAAACACATGAGCGAGGGTTGCAACTGCCCGGGAATGATTTCATTTGATGAGGAAAACCTTATAGACATCTACCAAAAGGGCGATGTCCCTTGTTTTTCCATCGGAAGGCTTGAAGATGGCAGTTTGGGCATCGCTCTCAGTTCCTGCAGCATCGACGAAGAGTCGCAGAAAGACCCCAATAATCACTACGTCGCTCTCTCACACGTATGGTCAGAGGGTATGGGTAATCCGGCGGCGAATGCCCTACCCTTTTGTCAGCTGGCATACGCACAACACTGGGCAATGATGGCATACCAAGTTGTGGAAGAGACAGAAGCAGACGAATCAAAGGACGGCACGGGGATTATGATCCAAACGAAACCCAAAATACGCCAGCTTAATATCTGGATCGACACCATGTGTTGTCCTGCGACTCCTGGATATGGAAAGAATCTTTGCCTCTCCATGATGCGGGAAATCTACTCGAACGCCAATGTTGTCATGGTGAGAAGCGCAGTGCTTGAAGCTTTGGAAATAGGCGACATTGTACGGGATCCCTCCAAAGGGGTGATGGATGTTGCAGCACAGCTGTACCTATCTCCTTACATGCGCAGGATGTGGACATTACAAGAGGCAGTCCTAGCTGGTGCTTCCAGAGCTCGAGGGATTGGCGACCGGCTTTGTCTGTCATTCGCCGATGGCATCCTCTCGCTCGAGTCAATCATCAACCTTCTGAAGCAAGCCCCCCGACAAGAGGCCTTGTTGGCATACCGCTTCATGGCAGAATTCCGCGACCTCAGCACTCACATGTGGCAGCTAGGAGATGGTGATGGCGACAAGCCAGTGAAGCACAGTCTGAAGGGATTTGACTTCTTCTTGAGCATGCTCACTGCCGCTTTGAAATACCGCAACGTCACGGTTGCGTCCGACGAGGTGATTTGCTTGGCTACGCTGCTGAATCTGCGTATCAACAGCACACGGGGAGTCATACCTCTCATTGGTCACGGAGAGACTCCCGAGGAGGGCATGTGTGAGTTGTGGAGGAGGCTTCAGGGCCTCGGTGGGAGTCTGCCATCTGACCTTATTTTCTCCTCTGTCCCACGTGTTCAAGTCCCAGGATATCGGTGGGCACCCGCAACTCTTGTCCAGTACGCGAAATACGGCAATCTCTATGTTTCTCATTCCAGTGCGTATCCGGCGAAGATTTCCGACAAGGGTCTACACGTGAGGCTTCCTGGGGCGCGACTCACGAGTTTGGCTGCCACTGCTGGTTCATTTGGCAAGTTATTGCCAATGGTATCAATGAATGACCGAAAGGATATCCACTCGGAAGATGAAGCCACACCCCCTTCTGTATTTTTGGCAAAGCTACAAGCAGATGAAGATGGCTGGTTTGCTGTCAGGATCCACAAGGGCGAAAATGAGACCCGGGAATCTGCACATGCAGAATCACGCTCCGAATCAAGTCAGAGGCCAAATCTTCTCCAACTCCTTGGGAGCAGGTCTGTGGCGCTGATATACCAGAACGCCAACATCAGCGGGCCAGGTCTACTCGTTTCCATTGCGTCGCAACCGTCAGAACTGAGCGCTCTCGACATTCTGAGTCTGAATCAGGAGCCTTTGCAGACCACGAGCGAGTTACCTGTAAAGATAATGCCTCTCAGCGGCGGTGCCAGCATCATTGCTGAAGCAGCCAACAACTGTGTCGAAGAGCTGAATCGAAGGGTTGTGGTTGAGTCGAGACAGCGGACAGGCGGAGATGCCGTTGAGAATATCTGGGAAGATGCTGTTGTCATTGCTGAGCTATTGAAGCAAACGGCCAAGAAAATTGTGGAAGAGTCCAGTGCAGCCCTGAAAGAAGCCTTGTATTTCGAGGTGTTGTCTACGAAAGCCTCTGCCACTTACGAGGCCGCCATCGAGCGCTTCATGCAGTATGTGCGCCAGGTGGCGTACTTTGGCGGCGGTATAAGGTGCGAGTCTTACCCGGACGACCAAGACTGGTATGTGGATTGATTTTGGTTTGGATCGGGATTAGACCTTCGCGGGGTTGGCGGCATTACCACCTCGCCAACAGAGCTTGCGTCCCTTTTGACCGGACGAAGATCTTGTTAGGCACTTTCTAAATCAGATGTCCGAAGGGTGATGAGGACTAATATGATTTGCCTTCATGTAATTCTCTTACTCAGATGGGCGAGATCATTGTTGGAATCGAGCCTGATGTTAATCGAAGAGGGGCCCTTCGCAAGGGCGTTGAACCTGGTTATTAACTCGATCAAGCCTCAACGGAAAGGCCCACTCTTTCAGTGTAAACTGCTTAGATATTCTAGGTAACCCGAGGGCCCGAGTGAGGAACTTAGAATCCGATCCTGAAGTGTTTAAGTCACAATTGTGAGGTCTCTTGTACCCCTGTCTTGAGGGTGGTGGCTGCTTGTGGCTTTAAGACAACTAGATAGCCGAGAGTAATGGTCGGCCAGCGGGGCCACTGACGCTTACTCCGTACCATTCTAGGTACTTTAAACATGCTCATGACGTTTCAAGCACGGAAACAGATAACCTCGTTTGAGACAGTACTTACTTTCCGGGCGGCTTGGCAGATCGGCGAGATTGGATCGCGTGCCCGGTCACGATCCGGAGGAGCTTCCACAACATCATATCTCCAGGATTAACTAATACGTGTGACTGCAATCCTTAGATGGTCCGAGTGAAAGATGGAGTTCACAAGCTTTGACACGAAATGAAAGATTTACCTATTTCTACATTTACGCTGGGTCAATTATTACGTGCCCGCAGGATATTGATAGGTTAGAGTCCTAGCCAGAGAGCTCCGCGTCGTCCGGGGCGTTCGGCGAGAATACCCACCGTCTCCCCACAGCCTGGTGCTCGTTACACGAGTTTTTGAGACATTCAAATGTACGAGTCATCCGAGTTATCCGCGCAAACCTTCATTGACAGTGAATAACTTTCTCAACTTACTCTCACTAGGTACCCCTTCAAAGTAGGTACATCGATCGCAACCGGCCATGCAATGACCACCGCCTCAACCCGACGTCTCTGTAGCTTGTGCCACACCCATGGATCCACGTATGGCGTATTGAAATTAGATCTACTCCTTTCATTTCCTCCCACAAAGCACTCACATGGAGTATCGGCTGGCTGCCGAGCCACAAGGCATTCTATCCTCTGCGTCCTATTTCAATCGGTTTACCCGATGAAGACATTCAGTAGACGATCAAGGCGAGACAGACTGATCTAGGTCTTGAAGATAACATCGCATGTCCATTCCTGTCAGTCTTAAGAGCCTCCCAACAATCGGCTAACATGAATCCCATTGTCCTCTTTGCTATGGAAACGGCTGCTTTTGGCCCATCTGCAAGCGGGCAATCAGATAGCAATGACTTGGCGATAGAGAAAAAGCTGGTTGATGTGGTCGAGGTGGTCATAGATCCGCCTAGACATCCCCGCCTGGATTTCACCGAAAAGATTTGAACGCATGTAGAATGGCCGTTTCGACGATCACTCTCAATTAAATCGCTCTTGCTGCCATTTGATGCCTCTAGCTTTTTGTCCTTAATGGACGAGGCGTGTCACCCAGGTCGCGGAAGAGTGGTCTTGGGAAGAGTGGTTTTGGGAAGACTTTTGGGAGCTTTCCTATCTTTCGCCCATTAAGGACCGAGCCTTTGGTTCTAGAATACCCAGTCCTTGAATTAACATGTCGAAAATTCCGGGCTTATGGCGGCTCATCTTGCCGCCGCTGTTCCTAGGAAGCAGCAGCCTGGCCCAGTCATGCCTCGAGGCGCTCAACAACAATCAGGTCGACGCATGTGTGTGCTACTCCCTAGAATACGTCGTCAGTTACGTCGCCTACATCGCTGTTTCTACGTCATACACGTCAAATTGCGAGGCTCTGCCCACGATCTCAGCCACCACGTCCGTCACGCCTCAGATTCTAGAGAGTAACCCTGCAGGTGGCAACTATTCAGGGTACGTGACAGTCAGCCATGGAGTTTACACAGGAACAGACATCTTGACCGGGCCCACTACGAGAGCAATCCTGGGACTCGATGGATCAGGGACATTGGTAGTGGAGGATCCGCCTTCGTATACGACAGTTTCCCGAGGCGGTACGGCAACAGTCAGCCCTGGATCACTTCCGAACTCTGTCAACTCAACAAGCTTTCTGACTACGAATCCCATCACGGCACCACGAACCATTCTCGTCGCCAACCCCACGCCGGGAGCTTCCACAGCTTCTCAAGGAACTGTAGTCGTTGCAGTGCCTGATCCAAGATTATACAACACGAGTACACTCGCTTACACTGGGTCCGATCCCCTAGGCGCAACTCGTACGACCATTTCAACTATTGCAGAGTCTGGCTTTATTCCTGGCACCTACGTTGTCGCTGTCGCCACGACGGCAGTACCAGATGTGTCCTACGATGTTTCTACGGTTGCGTACACTGGGACAGCCGTTATTTCAGGCCCAACCGTAGTGTCAGTCATCCAACCCACGGACGGGAGTGGTCGAGGAACTGTAGTGATAGGAGTCCCGCCGACTGGAGTTCCCCCTCCTCAGGTGACGTCGATAGTTCCGTACGAGGGCATGAGTTCAATTACAGGACCGACGACGATTCTCAACAGGCCCTTCGATGGCACTGTGCCGGGAACCGTCATAGTCGGACTTCCACCAGCATCTTTCATCACCCAGACTGTGCCCTTCACGGGCAGGGAAGTCCTTACGGCCCCAATCACTATCACGATAGCACCACCAAGCGGCTCTCAACATGGTACCGTTGTCATCGGAAGTCCATCAGTCACGTTCCTGGCAAGCTTCGTTCCTTTTACAGGGTCTACCCAGGAGACACTATCGGTGATCCAGCCTACAGGCACATCTCCAGGAGTTGTAATCATCGGGCAGCCCGGAGGTTCCAATCCAGATGTCGAGGATCCCACGTCTGCCGCCTCTGCGCCTCAAGTAACGCCAACCCGATTTATTACGTCGATTGTGACCTACACTCCTGCCTCAGATGCTCCGAACACACCATCGACCTTGGCTGTCATAGATGGTACGGTTATCATCGGGTTGCCTCGCATCGTCTCCCCAGCTGCGACTGGCTCGGACTCTTTTATCACTTCGGCAAGAAGAGGGCCCTTTGTCACCTCTACTGTTGACTTCACCCAGGGCGTGGACTTGCCGACAACTGTTGATCCTGTGGGAACCGTACCTGGAACGTTCTTTGTTTATGCCTCATTGAGAGGTGGAAATTCGGCAAGTCCGTTCGTTACTTCCGAGGTTGTGCTGCTTGGAACAGCGGCTGGCTCAGCGCCTACGACCATCTCCGTTGTTCAGCCAACCAATGGACTGCCTGGAACCTTGATCATTGGCAGACCAGCCATATTTGTGACTTCGACTGTCTCTTGGACAGGGTCGGTTCCTTTGGCATCTAGGACAACACTTGCAGTCGTGGCCCCCTCAGGAAATAGCCCCGGCACGGTCTTCGTTGCGGATCCCGCGGTTTTGGGAAGACAATTCTCAACGTCCTACGTTCGAATCTCTGGTACCCAGGAAGAGGGCGCTGCAACAACGTTAACTCTGATACCAGGCCAGGGCACTTCGCAGCCAGCTATCGTCGATGGAGTTCCTGATGACTACATTACTTCTACAATTGACTTCAGCGGCGCAGATATACTTACGACAAGAACCACACTTTCGACATTGCCGCCGAACGGGGTGGCACCAGGCTTCAGTATTGTAGCTGACCCATCAACCTTAGTGTCTACAGTAACACCCGAGGTAACAAATGGGGCTTCTGTTGTCCTTCAGCCCGACTTTATCACCTCAACAGTCTTGTATGAGGGCTCGACTACATCTGTTCTGACCAGTGTCCAGCCCTTAGAAACCAACAGGGGTACAATCGTGCTTGCAGTACCCTCGGTGGCCTCGCCATCAAGGCCTGGCGAAAGCCAAGTGTCGAAGGTGAACGATTCAAGCGTGGCTCTGGCCTCATTCATTACTTCGACGGCTGTCAGTCTTGACAGCTATTCTGTTACATCAAGAACTACAATCTCGACAATTACTCCTGATGTTGAGGCCTCTATATCTGGTACGTACGTCGTGGCCTTGCCCAACGCCTACGTTACCTCGACTGTGCCGTGGACTGGAGCAATACTCTTGTCAACCTTGACTACGATCTCGACCATACCACCTTCCGACTCTCAGCCGGGTGTTGTCGTCGTAGCTGCTCCGAATGCGATAGACTCATCTACATCTCAGCCAGTGAGTAGCAATACAGCCCCGCAGCCGGTTTCTACAAGCAATGCTGCCCCAGGAGACTCAGCTACACCGCTTCCTGCCACCCAGCTATCAGCTCAGACGCTTTTTGCAACCTCGACAGTACTTTTGGCGAGCAATCTTGGCATCTCATCAGCAACCACTTTGACAACACTTCAGGGGGACCCGGGTTCACCATCCATAGTACTGATTGGCGTTCCTGTTGCCACCGAGACCTCCATCGCGAAAGAGACACTGGGAGCCACTTCAAATGGATCTAGGCCACCTAGTGACTTGGAATTTGGAACCCCATCAACTCCTGCAGGCAATCTCATCTCGACAGCCACGCCCACTAACTCTTCACCATTGACAACTGCTCTCGCCAACTCTGTAATTGGTTCTGTCGTCACTTCAGACATTTTCTACAGCGGAACCAACCCGCTTACCTCGCCAATCCCGCTGACAACTCTCTCTGCTGGCCTAGGCAGTCTTTCGACCGTGATACTGCTCCAACCATCATCGGCCGCTGGCTTGATTAGCAACTCTGCAGGAGGTTCCGGCTCTAGGCCGCTGGAAGCTGTGTCGTCGTTGACCACCAATAGCCCACCAAGCCCAACTACCGTTGTCCTTGTTCAGTCTGGAACGACAGTTTTGCTGCAGGCTTCTTTTGTCACATCTACTTTAGATGCGGGCAGTAGTTCCTCCGACGGCTCTCAAGGGCTTGCTCCTATTTCTACGATCCTAC